TTTGCCTGAGCCCCATGCCCTCCTACACCCTAAAACCCCTGCATTCTCTTCGCCTCTGAAAATTTGACGGCTTGAAACAAAACCCGAAACCCTAAACTGGCGAGAGCACCCCTGCCCCTATACATGGGTGCTCGAGCCTCGCGGACAGGGCTCTGCCCTGGCGCGCGGCTAACCTACACGCCTGGGCCGTCGTTTTCCTGATGCTGGTGGGAGGTGCAGCCTTTTGCTGAAGGGCTTGAAGCTTCAGCTAGCCCCATATGTTTCGAGTCCATCCTGCTTTCCTGCGCCTTGCTCCTGCCAAGGATGTGACGGACAACTTTGAATGCTTCTACAAGCCCTTCGCGGCGCTGGGTATCAGGAAGCCCTTTGAGCCCGTGCAGCACCCTGCTGCCCTGGGTGCAGAAGCCGGAATTACGCGAGGCGGCCTGCTCGGGCCCCCTGACCCTCCCCCATGAGCCTCTATCTTTGTTGGGTCTCTCTCAGGCAGGGGCCTGTCGAGGCCTCTGCCCTGTCTGCCCTAGGGGGGGTTTGGGGGGTAGAACCCTAAACCCTAAAAGAGAAAAAAGACAATAGGGTGGGGCTACTAAGCCATGCGAGCGCACGATACGGAGCTCTGAGCGCGCCCCTAGATCAAAAGAAAAGGCGCGCTCCCCCAGCGCCACAGCCCGCGCGCGCGTACACGTGTTTTTTTTGCTTAGAATATATGTGAGCGTTTTCTTTTTTTTATACGCACGCTACCCCATAAACCCTGAACCCTAGACCCTTCTAAACCCTAAACCCTCAACCCTCACCCTTACCGGTCTTGGCCCTCAACCACTAAACTCGAAACCCCAAACCCTAAACTCGAGCCCCTGGCCTGCCAAACCCTACACCCTCGCAACCCCAATCCTAAACAACTTTGAAGCTCTGAATGCGAAAACTGTGAGGAAAGGCCCACCGTGGGATGGTACCCCTTATACTAACAGTCCTTAATGGGGATTATGGTCCTAGAAGGGCTGTTAGTATAAGGGATCGAACATCCCAAGTCCCACCCCCCTACCTTGCTGTACGAAGAAAAGCCTCGACCCTCGATCCTGAACCCTGAACCCTGAACCTCGCACCCCTATTGCCAACAGCAGCGATGTGGCAATCCGAGCAAGACGTCGGTTCCCAAGAAGGATAAACTTTCCCACATCTCCCATATGAGCCCAAAGGATCCCTAAATCATGCCCCTAGTTCCTGAACTAAACCGCAAACCCAAGAAGGAACTTCTAAACGACCCGCACCCCCCTCCCCCCCCTCCCTCCCCCCCCCCTCCCTCCCCGCCTCCCTCCCCTCCCCCGGGACTCCGACATCTCGCAACCGGGCATCCACAAGCGAGCCGGGACTGAAACCAGAAAGGATTTAGGGTTGGGGGTTTGGGTATTTGGTGGTTTATTGGGTTTAGAGGGCTAGTGTTTGGTAGGACAGGGTTTGGGGCCTAGTTCTCTGCCTTTCGGACTCAAATGGCGTCATGATTTTTCATTGTTGTTGTGGCGAGGAGCGGTTAGAGAGGGTACCCAAGTCTCTAGAGACCATAAAGTTTAGGTGTCCATGCCCCATATGGCCTGCTTGCAGCAAGGCGCATGAGGCAAAACCCTCAACACGAAACCCCAAACCCTAAACCCGAAACCCTAAACCCCTCAAATCCCTCACCCTCATCAAGGCGTGGAGTCTGAACTATGCACAGGGCCGACAAAACCTCCGAACCCTACAACCTGTTCAGGGTTCAGGGTCTAGGGTTTATAGGATTTAGGGCTTAGGGTTTAGGGTTTAGGGCTTAGGGTTTAGGGTTTGGGGTTTAGGACCCTACAAACCCTCCAACATCGAATCCCAAGCCTCGGAACCCTCACCCCGCACCCGCTCTTGCCTTGAGCAAGCTGCCGTCGCACGAGTGACAGGCTGCTTCTTGCGCGAAGCCATGCTCAAGAAGTCTAGTTTAGGGTTTAGGGTTTAGGGTTTAGGGTTTAGGGTTTAGGGTTTAGGGTTTAGGGCTTAGGGCTTAGGGCTTAGGGCTTAGGGCTTAGGGCTTAGGGCTTAGGGCTTAGGGCTTAGGGCTTAGGGCTTAGGGCTTAGGGCTTAGGGTTTAGGGCTTAGGGTTTAGGGACTATGGGATGGCACGGCTACGTCTGAGCAGCGACCTTCTGACACGCTTGGAGCCTCCCTCCCCCGTCGAGTCAGGGCTTCTCGGGCTAGAGATTGGGGGGGGGTCATGATCAGCATAATTACTCAAAATAGTCACAACAATATGTAAAAAAAAAACTCGCAATAGGAAGAGAATGAAGAATAGTAATCTCATAGTCATCGTCAAATGAATCAGCACAATAAGGTTTCCAGGACTGAAGGCATGCTTAGGGCGCATTCAGCACCCTGAACCCTAAAACCCCTAAACCCTCAACCCAAAACCCTAAAGCCTAACCCCTAAACCCTAAACCCCAAACCCTAATAATCAATACTCATAATCATAATAATAATAATAATAGCAACAATAAAATAATAACAATAATAATAAGGTTTCCAGCACAACCCGGCCGGCGTACGCGCGCATGCCCACCGAGGAGACGTCCGGCAAAACAGATGCCCCGTCAGCAAGATGCGGAAGCAGGCACTTTGAGGGGTTCAGGGTTTGGTTTCGGGGGATGCCAAAACGAAGCTCTTCCTTTTATGGCTGCGCCATGGTCAGATCAGCTAACTCGCAGCGCAAGGCCTAGTGGGTCTGCCACGCTCAACGATCACAGCACCCAGGCGCATGAATGGTATGGCATGCCTCCTCTCAAGCAACGGGGGAATGTCATCCGTGGGGTTTAGGGTTTAGGGTTTATGGTTTAGGGTTTACGGTTTAGGGTTTAGGGTTTAGGGTTTAGGGTTTGGGGTTTAGGGTTTAGGGTTTGGGTTTTGGGTTCTGGGCTTTAGGGGGGTTTAGGGTTTAGCACCAGTGCATGGCTGCGCGCCCGTTAGCTTGGAGCTTCGCGGGAGGATCCTTAATCTTGAGGGAGCAGTACTACTAACAATCGTAATACAAATCTGAATAATCACCCTGATACTCATTACAATATCATCATACAAATAGCCATACTAATGACCACAATAACCATAAAAACAATAGGAGAAACAGTACAAGCAATCATCATACTATCAATGATACTACTCATGTCCCGCGGCTGAATCAGGGGTTTGGTGGGCGAACCAGTGTGAATGAGGGGCAAGGCTCACTTCCCCCATCCGACCATCCCGCGCGCCAGTCAGGGTCGGCGCACCCGAAAGCCCAAACCCGGAGCCCCAGACCCCTGAACGTCTCGCCCTGCCGTGCACAGACACAGAGCTGAGTCACCTCATCGGCTTAGGGTTGAGGGTTGAGTTTGCTAGTGCAAGATGGCACTCCAACCTGTGTTTAGGGTTTCGGGTCTAGGGTTTGGCCTCAACCCTCCCTTCCCAACCCGCCCCGTGCCTACGGAAGGTCCCCGCGTGATCTCTGGAGCCCCCGCTAGGCTTGGGCAGAAAAAACCGCTGGGGGCTTTGAAGTTGAGGCATGGATCCAAGGTGCGAACCATGGGCCCTTAGTAGGGTCTAGGGTTTAGGGTTTAGGGTTTAGGGTTTAGGGTTTAGGGTTTAGGGTTTAGTGTTTAGGGTTTAGGGTTTAGGGTTTTGGTCCCTTACCCTTGTTTAAAGGGGCTTACACGGGGAAGGAGGAACTGGGTTGAGGGCCTCGGGCTTCGGGGTTGAAGTGTAGAGGTCCCCTAAACCCTCACAGCCTAAGACCCTAAACCCTAAACCCTAAACCCTAAACCCCAAACCCTAAACCCTAAACCCTAAACCCTAAACCCTAAACCCTAAACCCGAAGCCGCCTGGTCTACGCCGACCCCAGGTTGCTCCATGCCAGCATCCATCATAAGAAGCCTCTGCCTCCATTACGTGCACATGTACAGATACATAAGATATGTACATATAGGTGCTCAGGGTTTAGGGTTTAGGATTTAGGGTTTTGGGTTTAGGGTTTCGGGTTTTGGGTTTAGGGTTTGTATGAATTGATACAACCACTCAAGCAAGCCAAGCGGGGGCCTATCTAAGGTGGCATCAGTCGTTCCTGGCTTTCCTACAGTGACCAGCTTAGCTGCAAAGCGGCTGGAAGACTCAGAGATGTTTTCATGCACTTGGGATCTTGCACCTCGAACGCCGGATCTCTGACCGACACATGGTCCATCGTTGAGCCCTGGCGGTCAGGAACACAAACCAATTCGAAACAATTGCTCAGCTAGCGAGCCATGTTCTAGCATCGCTGAGAGCTGGCAAGGCGAGCAAGCCTTCCGTACGATGGCCGGAACTGTCCTTTGTGGAAGTCCCGTGGCTTCATCAAAAATTTGCAAGCCAGCGTCGGCGAGCCATGTCGTAGCATCGCTGAGAGCTGGCCAGGCGAGCAAGCCTTACGGACGGTGGCCGGAACTGTCCTTTCCCGGAAGTCCCCTCCCAATGCCCGTGGTCTAAAGGCCCAGGCTCTGAAGTCCGTTCTTTTGCCGGTGCTCGGTTGCGAGACCAAAGGAGATTGCAAAGGCTGAGAAACACGCAAAAAGTAGGCAAAGACTCCACCCACTTGCACAGAATGCGTACACCTTGGAACCTTCTCAGCCCGCCTGTGCACTTGAAGGAGTGGCCTGTTGGCCATCCATGGGGGGCCCCCAGAGTACTGGGGGGCCCCCAGAGTACTGGGGGTTCGTGGTGTGAGTTAAAGAGTTAAAGGCTCCAAGCCACCAGCATCCTCGCAAAAAAAAAAAAAAAAAAAAAAAAAAAAAAAAAACTGAATGTTGCTACGAGGGATGACATATACTCCGGTGCACACAAAGCGTCAGCCAAAGCAGTGAGTGCTCTGATGGCGGAGCGAAAAGAGTGTCTTGACGACATTCGGCGGGCCTTGCCGCCTTGCGGGCCTTGGCGAAGCTATGCCAGATGCCTTCCTTGGCAAGAGACGGAGAAAATCGCACCCAACTCACAGGCTTCCGGCTGCAAGCGTCGCAAAGTTGCCCCGCAAGCTCATGAGCTCCTGGTAGGTGCCAGACTCCACCAGCCGTCCGTCCGACAGAACGAAGATCTTGTCCGAGTTCTGGATGGTGGATAAACCTTGGTTAAGTTTGGGGGGGCCCTATGAAAGAAATCAAATCTTTAGGGCTTTGTAAGGATTACACAGGGGATTAAGGGTAACAAAAACTAGAACTTATGTTCTAACCTAACCCTGAAACGGTGGGCCACGGTGATGGTGGTTCTGCCCACCCTTGCCTCCTGCATCGCTTGCTGTATGAGGCTTTCCGACACCGAGTCCAGGGCCGACATTGCCTCGTCCAGGAGCAGGAACCTCAGAGAACTTCTCTTAAGGGTTTAGGGTTTAGGGTTTAGGGTTTAGGGTTTAGGGTTTAGGGTTTAGGGTTTAGGGTTTAGGGTTTACCAAAGCAAAAAGGACCCAAGGCTGAAGATGCTCAAAGGCCTGCAGAGGCTCTTCTGCAAAGCTTGGCTGCACGTTTTCTGTTCTTTCTGATACTCTAATGTTCTTGTAGAACTATGTTCTTCTACTCTTTTATATCTTTCAATTCTGAGAGTCTTATTCTCCTGTACGCTTCTACTCCTATATTCCAATATTGCTTTTGGGAGGTTCCCGGTGTCTTTGCACATTCTCGCCCATCTTTCTTATACTCTGAGACTCTCGTTCCAATACTCCTAGATTCTTCTACCCGGAAACTCTTATTCCTATATGGGGGTTTAAACCCTAAACCCTAAACCCTAAACCCTAAACCCTAAACCCTAAACCCTAAACCCTAAAACCTAAACCCTAAACCCTAAACCTAGACCCCCAAATAGTAAGATTCCCGTAGAATAGGGACCCAAGGAGGTGTTTCCGGAAACCCTCCACATTCCTCCTTTCTTCTATTCTTAGACTCTAAAAATCTCTCTATTCATATCATCTTGTACTCTTATACTCTTATATTCCCTTATTCTTATATTCCTATATCCCTATATTCCTCTATTTCTATATTCTTAGACCTCTGAAATCTCCTAGGAGCTGAGGCCGGCGGAGCAGGGCCCGGGCGATGGCACAGCGCTGCTTCTGCCCGCCCGAAAGCTTCCTTGGGCTGACTTCTGAACCCCGCATTGAATTGTTATGACTTTTGGGGCTCCTTGTTGCAGTTTCTAGCCCTAAGCCTAAACCCTAAAACCCTCAACCCTCAACCCTAAATCCTAAACCCTAAACCCTAAACCCCAAACTCTAAACCCTTAAAGTCCTAAGAGCCAGCTAGAAGAGAAGCCAAGCTTCCCCCCGCGGAGCCCGACCCGGTCCGCCCACTTCACGGCGCCCGTGTTCACCTTAAGCTGGCTCTTCTATCCGCCTTTATATATATATATACATATGTACATACATATATATATAGATATATATATATATACACATGCATATATATATATATGTGTGTATTATATATATATATATATATATAGCATATATATATATATAGATATAGATAGATAGATACATATATATATATATAGATAGATAGATGGATAGATAGACAGACAAATACCCTTCCGAAGGGATTATATATCCCCCCCATATATGTATATCCTTCGAGGGATCTCTGCTTGGGTACATCGTTCCCTGGTTCCCTCCTGCCCTGCTAAGAAGGAATGAGTCGCGCCCGAGAGGGCGTAGCTGCTTCCATCACACTCCGAGAAGACGTAGTCCATGTTGGCTTGCTTGGCCGCTTCACACACCTCCTCGTCGGTCGCCTCGGGGCAGCCGTACCTCAACACATGAGGTCATGAGAAAACCTTGAGCTCTGCTAGCCATCTCCACCGTGGCAAACACCGCCCTGCGCCTGTGGCTTCAGAGGTAAGGCTCGCACCGCACATTCTCTGCGAGGGACATGTCGAAGAGCACAGGCTCCTGGCCGACGACCCCCAGCTGCCGGCGCCACCAGGCCACGTTGAGGTCTCGGAGGTCGGCGCCGAGCTCCCCGCCGACGCGGATGGAGCCGCACTGGGGGTCGTAGAAGCGCTGGAGGAGCTGGATCACCGTCGACTTGCCGCTGCCCGAGAAGCCCACCAGTGCCACCGACTCGCCCTTCCGGATGCTGAAGCTCAGCTTCTTGAGCACGCGCACCTCGGGGCGGTGGGGGTACCAGAAGTGCACCTCCTGGAACTCAATCGACCCATCCCCGGTGCTCTCAATGCCCACCGGCTGCGTGGCGTCGATCTTCGAGACCTGGTCGATGAGGCGGAAGACCTCCAGGGACTTCCAAGAACGACCGCAGAACCTTCGGAACTCTATATACGTACATACATACGTACATACATACATACATACATACATGCCTACCTACCTACCCTACCCTACCTACCTACGTACATAAAACACCTTGTTCATATCCCCGAAAAATATATCGTGTGTATATATACATATATATATATATGTATGTATATATATATATACACCCTTTAAAGGGTGTAAAAATACACCCTTATATATATATATATACACACCCTTTAAAGGGTGTATATATATATACACCCTTTCAATGAAGTGCCCGAGCTCTGACACATCTCAAGCTGCCGCCCCCTCGGCCTGGACAGCAGCATGGTAGCCGGACGCAGAGTCCGGGATGTACTGGACCTAGTTTCATGGCTGGGAGAATACTAAACGGTTTAGGGTTTAGGGTTTAGGGTTTAGGGTTTAGGGTTTAGGGTTTAGGGTTTAGGGTTTAGGGTTTAGGGTTTAGGGTTCAGGGTTTAGGGTTTAGGGTAAACATCTGAATTTTTATATTCCTTATTGGGTTTAAGTGCCCTTAAAAGTGTAACATGGTACCCAACCATGGCAAAGGGAACGATGGAGCTGACAGACATCACCCCGAAGACCACGCAGAAGAGGGTCAGCATGACCTGCCTGGCATCGAAGCCCCAGTACTGAATGCTCGCGGCGCTCATCCAGAAGCCTTAGGGTTTAGGGTTTAGGGTTTGGGGTTTAGGGTTTAAGCTTTAGGGTTTAGGGTTTAGGGTTTAGGGTTTAGGGTTTAGGGTCTAGGCCTGCCAAGAAGATGGCCGGAAAGATGCTCAGGTTCAGGGCGAGGGAGAGCCCAAGCTTCCAGGCTTTCGCGGCATTGAGCTCGGTGAGCCTGTTCAGGGACACGTCGATGAGCTCCAGCGTGCGCTCCTCCGCGCCCAAGGCGCGCACCGTGCGGATGGACGTGGCCGCCTCGGACGTGGCGTGGCCCACGGCGGCGTAGGCCGCCTCGGCCTCGGGCTCGTTCCGGGCGGCGCCGATGGCCACCAGGAAGGACAGGAGGGCGCAGAAGGGCAAGAAGACCTGAGCATGGCGCTTCAAAACCTCCAACTTTGAGGGAACTATATATGTAAAGAAAAAAGAGTATGCCAAGGGCCTAGGGACCAGGGCCGCCGTGGCCAGGACCCAGCAGCCCCAGAAACTCACGCCGATGGCCAGGAAGCAGGTGAGGACGGCGCCCGTGGAGTTCCCGAGCTGGATGCCGAGCATCTGCCCCACCCGGTTCCTAGGTTTTTCAACGGTTGTGGGAGAGAACTGAATAAAATCTCCCAAAGCTTCTAGAGTCCTTTTTTGGGTTTTTTAAAGTACCCTTTAAAAAGGCCAAAAAAAACTGTTATACCCCCACTGACTATGACTCAGAGGCTCATGTGCCTCTCCAAGGACACCAGGATGCTGGCCGTCTGGTTCTCGGGCGCGTCGAAGAAGGCCATGTCCATGCGGATGGTGCTGGCGAAGGCCGCCTTGCGCAGGATCATGCACAAGCACTCCTGCAGGGAGGTTCATGGCACTTATGAACCAGTTTATAACTGTACTTCGAGCTGTGCTTATAAGCATATAAGGCACTGAAGGGGCTTAACACCTCCAAGTCCTGCAGGTAGGTGAAGAGGGAGTTCTGCAGCAAGGTGAAGAAACCGGAGCCTAATCCCACAACCACCAACCCCAAGACTGCCCCGTTGAGAGCGTCGCCCCCGTCGAAGAGCGACATGACGGCTTTGTTGAAGAAGAAGGCTTGGAGGGGCATCCCACAGGCCTCTGCTGCCACGATGACGAAGGCAACCGGCCAGATCCACCAGTAGACGTCCATCATGCCAAGCAGGCGGCGCCGTGGCGCGGCGCCCGAAGGTTTGGTTGGATCCTCCTCCGGTGTCACTATGGACTCTCGGAGGCTTGCCGGCGATGCCACCTGGGTGGGGGAGGGGTTCTCCTCCTTCTCCTCGCTCTTCGCCTGCTGCAGCGTGGCCATGCTGTAGTAGACGCCTTTCTGTTCCATGAGCTCTTCGTGGCCGCCTTGCTCACAGCAACTCCCATCCTGAAGGACATAAATCACGTCGGAGCCCTTGATGGTCATGAGCCGGTGAGCGATGGAAATAGTGGTGAAGTCCGTGCCCAGCGCGTCCAGGGTGGCTTGCACCATGCGCTCAGACTCGTTGTCCAGTGCCGAGGTTGCCTCGTCAAGGATCAAGACCTGAGGGCTCTTGGCCAGAGCACGCGCGATGGCAACGCGCTGCCGCTGTCCTCCCGAAAGCATTCCGCCTCCCGCGCCCACGAAGGTGTCCAGGCCATGTGGCAGCCCTTGCAGAGTGTCGTAGATCTGCGCGGCCTTGGCGGCTTTGATCGCCATGGCATCGGTGATGGAGGCGTCTCCTGCCTTGATATTGCTCATGGCCGTGGTCGCAAAGAGCACCGGCTCCTGGCCGACGTAGCCGATGAGCTTGCGCCAGGCCTTGGCGGAGACTTGGCTGAGATGGACTCCGTTCACCAGCACCTCCCCTGCCTTACTGTTGGTTGGTAGGGAATGAGGGAATGGAGCACCCTATATCCCCCTATATATACATATTATATATTGTTTTTATTTATTTATTTATGTATTTATTTATATACTCTTTAAGGGATTATCTCGGGTAAGCTGCACAGGGGTCGTAGAATCGCTCGAGGAGCTGGATGGTGGTACTCTTCCCAGAGCCACTCTCGCCCGCGAAGGCAATCTTCTGGCCTCTCTCTACTCGGAAGCTGCAATTCTTCAGGGCCCACTTGTCCGGCCGGGTCGGGTACTTGAAGCTGACGTTCCGGAACTCGATGCTCTGGACCACGCGAAGCTGCTCCGGCAGCAGGGCGGGCGTGTAGAGCGGCTCCTCTATCCGGGCCTCCTGGGCCTCGGAGTCCTTGGAGCCCTTGGAGCCCCTGGGATCCATCACCTCCCTCATCTCCTTGAAGGACACGACCGCGCGCGCCATCACCGGGGCGTAGCCGCTGAAGGCGCTGAGGCCGGAGCTGCCCACCATCATCGCGATCATGACCGTGACGATGTGGTCGGGCTCGAAGCCGGCGCCCTCGTCGGACATGAGGACGTGGCCGCCGAACCACAGGGCCAGCGCGTAGAGGCAGGAGTAGAAGAAGTTGAGGCCACCCCAGGAAGCACCAATCCGCAGGCCAGAACGAATCCCGCCCAGCTTTGCTGACAGGAGCTCCTTCTCAAATCGCGAGGACTGGACAGACTCACCGCCGAAAGCCGCCACGGTGCGGATTGCCATCAGCGACTCCTCTGCGACACTCGAAGCTCGAGCGAAGTCTGCAATCTGCTTGGAGGTCTGCTGCTCGATTTCTCTGCCCATGCGATGGCCCGCGAATGCCAGGATCGGAATTGTGGCACACACGACGAGGGAGAGCTGCCAGCCAGTGTACAAGGCCAGGGACAAGCCAGACACAGTCTGACCCAAGGCCGCGACCAGGTATCCGAGGGCAGTGGACATGAACACATACCTGGGACTCTTTTTTGACCTACAGCTTAGCAGTAACTACCCTTAATCAGCAGGTACAACCCACAAAAGCTGTAGGGAAAAAAGGAAGTCCCAGGTACACATTGGCAACATCACCCTCCAGCTTGCTGGCCACTCCAGCCGGCTCGTGCCTTACTGTTGGTTAGTAGGGAATGAGGGAATGGGGTACCCTAAATCCCCCTACATATCTCCGTTAAGGCTAGGGATTATATAATATACCCTCTAATTGATTATATAGGGTCTCTATATCCCCCTATTATATACCCTTTAACCCCCTATATATACCCTTTAAGGGATTATATGGGGCACCCTTTCTCCCCCTATTATATACCCTTTAAGGGATTATAGAGGGTACCCTATATCCCTCTATTATAAACCCTTCAAGGGATTGTAGAGGGTACCCTATAGCCCCCATTCCCTGGTAACCAACTGTAAGGTGCTGGTCGTACCAGGAGATGTCGCGGGAGAGCATCGCTTCCAGGAAGCCGCGGTGCCAGCGACGTGCCTGCTTGGCCGCTGCCCAGGACCTGGGGTTTAGGGTTTAGGGTTTAGGGTTTAGGGTTTAGGGTTTAGGGTTTAGGGTTTAGGGTTTAGGGTTTAGGTTTAGGGTTTAGGGTTTAGGGTTTATGATGGTTTATGGCTTTGTCCAGCATCTTCATAGGGGAGCTGAAGGTGAACCTTCGGATTCTTTAGGGACGAATCATAGCCAAAAAAGGGCTCAAAAAAGGTGCTCTACTATTATTCAGGGATGCATCATACCCCAAAAAAAAGGCTCAAAAGAGGGTACTCTACTGCTAAGGGGCAGGCAAGTCTGCCAGCCGAAGGCCAAGAAGAACTGGATGGTCGCCAGGATCCCAATCCTAGGCTGACAATTCAAAACCCTCTGAAAAAAACATTCCTGAATGGGTTTAGGGTTTAGGGTTTAGGGTTTAGGGTTTAGGGTTTAGGGTTTAGGTTTAGGGTTTAGGGTTTAGGGTTTAGGGTTTAGGGTTTAGGGTTTAGTGTTTAGGGTTTAGGGTTTAGGGTTTAGGGTTTAGGGCTTAGGGTTTAGGGTTTAGGGTCCTTTCCGAAAACACCCAAGAAGAAGGGTAAAAAAGAAACGTGAAGAAGATCCCAAGATCCTACCTAGGATCTTGATGAGCTGGGGCGCCATCGCGCTCAGGAGGTGCTCACTGGCGCCGGAGGCGCCGGCCGCCGTCACGGTGGTGATGCTCTCCCCCGTGAAGAGGGCGATCGCGGGAGCCGAGACGCCCTGGGCGAGAGCGTAGGTCACGCCCAGGATCAAGACCAGCCTGGGGGTTCTTTCGCAGATAAGGGACCATGAACCCTAAACCCTAAACCCTAAACCCTAAACCCTAAACCCTAAACCCTAAACCCTAACCCTAAACCCTCAACCCTAAACGCTAAAGCCTAAACTCCAAAAACGAAATCCCCCAAAGAGTAGGAAGCCCTTATACTGAGGACCCCAAGAAGGTACCCCCGAATTTCGGAAACCCCCACCTTTCGCAGAGCGGCTGCGACGGATGCTCGACGCAAACTGTCGGGGGGAGCTCCTTGTGAGCCTCGAGATCCAAGTCCTCAAGCTCGACCGGCTCCACTGGGCCCACCTTCTGCGCAAGGTCTCCTTCTAGCCCATTTCGTCCCAGCAGGATGGGCAGATTGGCCACTACCCCCACCTTTTCGCCGGTCATTGTGGGCCAACACCACTCAGGAGGGGCCCGTACTCCCGCGACCCTGCTATCGAGAAGCTGCTAAAAGCTGCTCGGGCCATCAATCCCGGGAATTTGACATAGTCAACATACTCATCAAAGCTCCCTTTAAGGGGGGGCACATTACACCGTCACACAACACCGTGCCGCGCTTCACCGCGCGTGTCCCCGCAGAATAGGCAAAGACCACAGCACGGACAATACCGTCTCTCCCTCCTTCCCGCTCGCTCTCTCTCTCTCTCCCTGTTCTCGCTGCTCACCTGCACTTCAAGAAACAACGGCCCAGTCAATGACACAAGCATCTGGTAAGGCTGAAAGAAAAAGAAGCAAAGTGGCAAAAGGCATAGGCTGCAAACGACCACAGCTCCTCTGGAAACCGAGCTCAACCGACAGGAGCCCAATTCAGAGTCCAGCTTCAGTCAGACCGGCCAGTACTTCTAAGCAACACGCGAGTTGAGCACTGATTTTCGATCGCGGCTGGCTGTGTCTTTAAACAAATGACAGATCCCAGCACGCAGCCAGAACTGCCAAGCAAAGGTCGCAGAAGAGCAAGCGGTCGCAGGGACGCAAACGCGAAGGGTGTAGGGTTCAGGGCTTTGTTCTGGGGATCTCCGGTTCAGGGTCTAGGATCCCTGCGCGAGCATGCATCTGCACAAGTTCCACCCCTATCTGATCTCAAGCAGCCAGGGATTCCGCCAGTGAGTTTTTGTAGGTTACCACCCATAATAATCAGAATTTTTTACCACTAGTACGATGCTTACCAGCATTACCATGCTTTACCACTACTACCATTCTTACCAAGCATTGCCACAATTGGCCCTCTTTCTACTCTACCATTAGTACCACTATGATCTTCCTTACCATTGTACCCTTTTCGTACCATTCATACCATGAGTACCGCTTTTACCATTGCCATTCTACCATGACTATTACCATTACTACCACTATTGCCATTATAACAAGTATTACCATTACTACCATTTTTATCAATATTGCCACCATTACCATTGCTACCACTATTACATTTCTTGCCATTGTTACCATTATTCCCCTTTGTACCATCTGCACCATTCATTCTTACCATTCTACCATTCTACCATTCTTGCCGGTACTGCCGCTCTTGAACTGCTGCCATTCTTACCATTCTCACCCGTACCATCATCACCACAACAACTGTGGTGCTATTATCACCATCCTCACCATTCTGATTCTTTCAAAGAATCCTCTAACCCGAGAATTCGAAGGGTGGGTTCGTCCTTGAACGACTCTTTTCGGTGGAACCCCCAGTTGCATTGTTGCAATACAAGAGGTTTAGGGTTTACGGTTTAGGCTTTAGGGATTCGGGTTTAGGGTTTTGTTTAGGGTTTAGGGTTTAGGGTTTAGGGATTAGGGCTTAGGGTTTAGGGTTTAGGGTTTAGGGTTTAGGGTTTGGGGTTTAGGGTTTAGGGTTTAGGGTTTAGGGTTTAGGGTTTAGGGTGGGAAAACCCTGGCTAGCCCTGGCTCGACCTCTGAGCACGCTGCTGGCGCGCGGCATGCCTTGCGTGTTAAATTTGCATGCGGGGTGTAGGGTTTAGGGATTAGGGCTTAGGGTTTAGGGTTTAGGGTTTAGGGTTTAGGGTTTAGGGTTTTGGTTTAGGGTTGCTCTGAGGGACTCGTAGATGTCCTTGAGGACGGCGGCTCGCGTGCGGCCAGCGCCGGAGGTAATAATTGGGAGCCTGCATTTTCGGCACTTTAGGGATTGGGTTTGGGGTTTAGGGTTTGGGGCTTTGGGTTACTTGATTCGGGGGAGGGGGGTCTTAGAGGGTGAGAATGGGGGAGCTGATTGCTGGAGGAGCAGCTACATGCGACCCCGGACAACCACCCAAATCAGCAGCTTAGTAGACTTACGGATTAGGTTTGGTAGAACCTGCACTGGCACACACTATATAATGGGGGTCGGAATTATTACTAATAGTATTCCCTGATTTATATCTATACGACAATAGCCCCCAATTCTTCCTACGAAGGCCCCTAGATTAAACAAGAATAGCCCCCTGATGCCTGTGCTTGGCTATGAACTCCCGCAGCTCCGCCAAAGATGTGCCCGGACCCAGCGTGCGGACGTCCAAGTCCATTGCCTGAGTTGGATTTCCGGGGGTCTCTGGCGCTGTGGCCACCCTGAAGCCTAAACGCCGAGTCTTTTCAAGCTAGGGTTTAGGGTTGAGGGCTTAGGGTTTAGGGTTCAGGGTTTAGGGCTTAGGGTTCCGGAGCAGCTCAAAGGCAGGCTTACACTCCACCACTTTCTCCGGGCACCCGTTCCCGTTGAACTCACATTCCGGCTGCCAAGTTGTTCATCTTCATGGTTGAAGGTATAGGGTTTAGGCTTAGAGTTTGGGGTTTAGGGTTTAGGGTTAAGGGTTTGGGGTTTAGGGTTTAGGGTTGGGGCACCCTTCTCCTTGCCAAGCGTCGGGAGTGCCAACCTCACCTTGTTCGAGGGCCTCCCTCCATGAAGAGCGCGTCTTGCTTGCGTGATCCTGTGTCGGTTTGCTACTTAGGAACCCCCAAAAAACAAACATAAAAAAACAATATTCAGAAATGAGAAAATGATATGTAAAAATATACATATATATATATACATATATATATAATGAACAAACAAAGTTACTCCTTCATTCCTTAGCAGGGCAATATAGGGATTATTGTCTTCTATTTTGTTGGAGTTCTTAGGCAAATAGTAGGTTGGATGATGGCAGTATCTGTGGTTGGGAAAACGCTGCTGGCATGCTAGATGCCCCGGGTGCTCCGAGACAGCACAATGTGAGGGGTGTTCCTTCTGCGCCGCTTTTGAGCGAGAATGCCCTGGCCGAAGGTTTTGCTTGCAGAGTTCATGTCCAGGGGTTTAGGGTTTAGGGTTTAGGGTCTAGAGTTTAGGGTTTAGGGTTTAGGGTTTAGGGTTTAGGGTTTAGGGTTTAGGGTTTAGGGCTCCGCGGCGTTTCGCCCAGCACACGACCATGGTTTGGATCAGAAGCCTTCAGGAACAGGGGTTCATAAGCTCATGGTGTCGGTTCATAAGCTCATGGTGTCGGTCCTGCACGTGCCGCACAATAGCCCGTCGGTACGACTCCGGGTCGTTGTGGCACTGCAGCGCAAGAGACACGTCAATGGCATCCTCCTTCTCAGGAGATAAGATCAAGCCGTAGACTGACTGTAACACTTCCGTCATGGCCGTGTCCGTGGTGTAGTTGCGATCGAGTATTGAGTGGCAGATCCTTCCATATGCGTTGACATTGCAGTGCTTGATGCTGGTCACGAAACGAACTTCCGGAGGGCGCTCCGGATAGTCTGCAGGGAACAGCACATAGAGAAGCCAGGCACCAGAGGCATAGGGTGTGAAGAGGTCAGCCTCCTGGTCCATGGCAAGGACCAGGCGCCAGAAGCTCAGGTCTTCGTCGCAAGGGTACACGTCAAAGTTGGGGTGCGGCTGCCTCATCAAGGCGCGCATCTCGCGCAAGAGCCGCCTCTGCCGATCAGCCCTTCTGGGCGCCGAAGCTTCGGGGTTGCCGGGGTTGCTGGGGTTGCTGTCAGGCGCAGCCTCCAAGGTTGAGTCTTTTGAGACATCGCCTGAATCGTGCTGCCTCTCGGTTTGTCGGATGGCTGTCTCCAGGGGAATGGCACGGCGAGTTAGCTGCTGAGGCTGTCGGCGAGCAGGCAAAGCACCATCATCCGACCGATCCACAGGGTAGAACCTTGGCCCAAACTTGCGGAGGTCGCTTTGGCTTTCCACGATCGGTCGGGCTCGCGTCTCGGGGGCCCGATCTGGGCCATGGAGGACCACTTCCAGCTCGTGCAAGCGCACGGCCTCTTGGATGCTCTTGGGCTGAAACACGTAGCCACCCGTACTCTTGGCAAGGGAATGCAGCTGATCGTCCATCCCGCAGCTCCCCACGTGTACGGCATCCAGCACGATGCCCGCCTTCTGCAGTCGCCGCGCCACGCGCCAGCAAGGGAGGCTGGACTTCGTGTCGCTCCCATCCGAAAGCACGTAGACCCGCAGTGCGGGCTTGGCGTCAGGGCCCCTGGATTGCTTGGCCTGCCATGCCTCCAAGGCATCCGCGGCCTTGTCTACCTGGGTTGTGCTTTAAACCCTTCGAAAAATGATTTACGATACGGTTTCCTTATGAAGAAGGGAAATTTATGGACACAAAATGTCCCAAGCACAAACCAGCTACAGCATCGTAGAGCGCAGTGTCTCCGGAAGGCTTTGCCCGCTGCACCTCGTCGCGGAAATCTTCGGAGAAGGCCGTGGGAGCGCAAGTCAGGCTGACCTCGCTGCTGAAGACCTTGCAAACCAACATGCAGCTTAAAAGGGTTTATGGTTCACATAACTCATATACCCTTATAGGCATTATGAGCCACATAGGCATTATGGTTCCTATACCTTAATAGGGGGATTCCGTATAGGGTACTACTTGGAGGTTAATGGTACTTACTAACCAATGAGAACTGTACGTATACCTGTTCATAAGTACAGCCATGACTGGTTGCTAAGTACCACGAACCTCCAAGTAGTACCCTACACGGCGAAGAATCCGCCTAGCAAGGTTATGGGAACCATAAGTATAACCTATCATGCGTACCATGAACCCCCACGGGATTCTTAGGGTCTTAACCCTAAACCCTAAACCCTAAACCCTAAACCCAATTTGTCGAGGGGGGCTCACTTGGTCCCCAAGGGACCAGGAGCCCGATGTCCACGGGCAGGCCGAAGGCTTGCACCTGGGCGCTCAAGCCGACCCGGCACCGAAAATCCGCTGAGTACCCTCGAGAATGCCCTCGAATACCCAAAAAAAATGCCCCTAGAATACCCGAACATACCCTAACATATACCTTCTAATATTCTAGAATACCCTAGAATATACCCTAAAATACCCGAACTGACACGAAAACCCGACTTCCCGAATACCCGCCTTGAAAAGCACGGAAAATTTGTCGACCTTGAGACGCCCTGAACCCTAAACCCTAAACCCTAAACCCTAAACCCTAAACCCTAGACTCGCTGAGGGGCTCGGTTCAGGAAGGACTCCAGGAGTTGCTTCACGCAGGACAGCCGCGTGAGCTCCTGACCTTCAAGAATTTGGTTAGGGGGTTCCTACAGGCTCGGATTTCAGGGTTTAGGGTTTAGGGTTTAGGGTTTGGGGTTTGGGGTTTGGGGTTTGGGGTTTGGGGTTTGGGGTTTGGGGTTTGGGGTTTGGGGTTGGGTTTAGGGTTTAGGGTTTAGGGCCTCATAAGCAGGAGCCGAACCGAGAAGTCTCAAGTGATCTCTGTTCTCAGAGCTCCCGCGCCTGTCTTGGCTTTGTACAAGGGGCCCCAATCCAGCTTCACCTCCCGCTTAAATCGGTCGCAGAGGGCCTCTGCATGAGCTGGATCCCCCGTGTTGGGTTGAGGGTTGAGGGTTGAGGGTTGAGGGTTGAGGGTTGAGGGTTGAGGGTTGAGGGTTGAGGGTTGAGGGTTGAGGGTTGAGGGTTGAGGGTTGAAGGCTTGAGGCTTGAGGCTTGAGGCTTGGGGGTTGAGGGTTGAGGGTTGAGGGTTGAGGGTTGAGGGCTTGAGGCTTGAGGCTTGAGGCTTGCGGGTTGAGGGTTGAGGGTTGAGGGTTGAGGGTTGAGGGTTGAGGGTTGAGGGTTGAGGGTTGAGGGTTGAGGGTTGAGGGTTGAGTTGATCTGATCACGAACCAGGTGAAGGTCCTTGAGCATCCCCAAGCTCCCTTTGTAGGTTGCCTTCAACCGACAGCTGCGGGACTTTGTTAGGCTCTGGAGGAAGATCTCCCAAATGTGGCTCTCATGCAGCTATATGAATTGCTCTGCTTCGCGTCTGAATTCTTGCGGCCGTCTACACGCGACATGCAGAAAGGTGATTGGGGGGCCTCTCTTGAGCTCATCGAACGCGGCAAGATAACAGAAGCCACAGACTCTCAAAACAGCACCGCAGCTACTCCAAACTTGCTGCCTTCAAGGTACAGCGAGAGCATCGGGCTGTTTGCGAAGGAGAAGGCAGCTAGCTAGCCTTGAGTTGCAGCCATGTTAAACCAACTCGTGCACCCAGCGATTTCCCGTAGCTCCCAAAGACAGGCCCTCAACCCTCAACCCTCAACCCTAGTCTGCACGGCAATCCTCAAGCCCCTAAACCCTAAACCCTAAACCCTAAACCCTAAACCCTAAACCGCCCCCCCTAAACCCTGAACCCTAAACCCTAAACCCGCAGCACAAGGTACTCGAGCGGATGTCCCTGCCGAATGCCGTCGCCCGCTTCCTGAACCATCGACACAGAACAAGACACTGTAATATAAATATTTAGCAGTAAAGCAGTATACTGGCATAACATGATAAGATTCTGATATAACAATCGCTTTAATATTACAATATATTCAATATTCTAACATCACAATATATGACAACATTCGAGTACTACAATATAAGCAAGATTCTTCAACCCTGAACAGACTCGGGTTTAGGGTTTAGGGGTTCAGGGTTTAGGTTTAGGGGTTTAGGGGTTTAAGGGTTCAGGGGTTCGGAGGGTTTAGGGTTGCCGGCAGTGGCTGGGATGAAGCGCCGTTTACAATCCGACCTTCGTAGCACGATTGACTCGCTCCTTGTCGCAGGACTCGTAAGGACCAACCCTAAACCCTAGACTCTGGGATGTTCCCCCCTTATACTAACAGTCCTTAATGAGGATTATATTAGGGGATACTCAAATCCCTACTAAGGACTGTTAGTATAAGGGGGACAACCCTAAACCCTAAACTCCCTAAAACCTGAAACGCTCCCCAAAGCCCTAAGGTTTCGGCTTTAGGGTTTTAGCCTATAGCCTTTAGGGCTTTAGGGTTTAGGCCTCGAAGCCCCCGTACCGCAAACTCTAACCCTAAACAAACCCTACACCCTAAACCCTAAACCCGAAACCCGAAACCCTAACGCTAAACCCTAAACCCTAAACCCCTTCAGCCCAGAATCGACCAGGTTGGCCCAGAGTGTGGACTGCGACGGCTGCCGGGGAAAGTTGCCGCCTCGGACGGCTTGTAAAAGATCAGGCCTTAGGGTTTAGGGTTTAGGGTTTAGGGTTTAGGGTTTAGGGTTTGCTGTGATAGGGCGTAGATGCTGTGAAGGTTTCGGAACAAGCTCGAAAGCTTCGCGAGGTGCGAAGAGCAGCTTTGGCCCGATTGTGGAGAGCCATCTAGCACTTCCCACGCCGTCCAAGGCGGCAAAGCCACCCAAACCTATTCCTTTTCGGGTTTAAGCCTAAACTCAGACAACAGCCGGGCCAGGCACCCCAGAGGCCCGGGGCCAGGAGGGGCCAGGGGCCAGGGAGGGAGTGGCCAAAAATTGCGTTTTTGAGCACCCGCCCTGCCTGAGGCGGCCTGGGCCCGCGGCGAGGTTTAGGGTATTTACTTTATTATAAGGGACCAGTACTGGTCCCGAGGAGAACGTGTTGTGGTACCCGACCCATCGTGGGCGCTAATGGCCCCCATGCTGTGGGAGGCGGGCGAGCGACCTGGGTCGGCTTGTGCCATCGAGGTCAAAGGGCTTGAGCGCCGCCCCCCAACGTAGGGGGGCGGCCTAGGCCCTGAGTTTAGGGTTTAGGGTTTAGGGTTTAGGGTTTAGGGTTTAGGGTTTAGGGTTTAGGGTTTAGGGTTTAGGGTTTAGGGTTTAGGGTTTAGGGCTTCTCGCTTTTGGAGTTTTGGCTTCAGGATTTAAGGTTTCATTGGGGTGTGGGCGGCGTGGGCTTCTCTTGGGGCTTCCGAGCCTCCGCACCTATAAACCCTGAACCCTGGTGCATGAAACCTGCACCCTACACCCTGAAACCCTAAACCCTAACACCTTAACACCCTAACACCCTAACACCCTCAACCCTACACCCTAAACCCGAAAACCTCAACCTCGAGGCACACGTCCCCATTCGGTGCAGCGTTGGCGCTGGCCAGCCCCAGTGCCCAGAGGCGGAAGAGTAGAGTCTGGCTGGACATGTTCATGGAACCTTGTGGCAGCTTGAGGGTTTGGGAATGTGTAGGGTTTAGGTTTAGGGTTTGGGGTTTAGGGTTTGGGGTTTGGGGTTTGGGATTTGGGGTTTGGGATTTGGGGGTTTGGGGTTTTTGGGTTTGGGGTTTGGGGTTTGGGGTTGGGGTTTGGAGTTTGGGGTTTGGGGTTTGGGGTTGGGGGCTTGGGTTGGTATGCTCCTGCAAGGCTGGATCACTGCCACAAGAGTCTAGCAACTGCTCGGAAAACACAAGCGCATGCATTCGGTGCGGTGTTTGGGGTATCCCTACACCCCAAACACGAACCCATATGTCGGGTACAGACATGAAGCTCCTCCTCCTCCTCCTCCTCCTCCTCCTCCTCCTCCTCCTCCTCCTCCTCCTCCTCCTCCTTCTCCTCCTCCTCCTGATGCTGCAAAAATCTTGGGCACCAATCATAAGGACGACAGGGTTTAGGGGCTTTTCCGGGCGGATGTAGGACTCAGGGCCGGTTGGGGCCGACAGTTGTAGGTTTTTGCTGAGGCCCTCTACATCTGCCACCGCTAAACCTCCAAGAAGGCACTAGGTATCAAGTTGATACGGGACCAAGCACTCATACTCAACCCTCCAGTCTGGAAAGCGCTGGTAGACGTACACTCCCTACCCAGCTTATCTTCAAACAAACAGCTGCAGGTCCTCATCAAAACTAGCAACTCTACCCTGAACCCTAAACCCTAAACACAAACTTAGCTGGGCCCCTTATAACTGGGAAATCACACAAGGCCAATCACAGGGGCATCCGGCCGGCAACTGATTCGGATTGAGTTTGATGAATACGCCCTGACCATAAAAATGCAGCAACTCTAGGCTCCCTAAACCCTAAACCCTAAACCCCAAACCCCAAACCCTAAACCCTCCATCATTCTCTTTCCCAAACATCCTGATCCGAACTCAAGGATTCCTTGCATGGCTGGCCACCAGCGATGCGGAACTCGTGAGACCCTCCTCGGTTTGGATTCAGGGTTTAGGGTCTATAGGGCTTAGGGTTTAAAAAATAGGGTTTAAGGTTTAGGGTTTAGGGTTTAGGGTTTAGGGTTTAGGGTTCAGGGTTTAGGGTTTAGGGTTTAGGGGTCTATAGGACTTAGGGTTTTGTCTTAGGGGCTTAGGCATTTCAAGCCTTAAAGAAAAAATTAGGGTTTAGGGTGTAGGGTTTAGGGTTTAGGGTTTAGGGTTTAGGGTTTAGGGTTTAGGGTTTAGGGTTTAGGGTTTGGGACTTGGTGATGCTCTGCAGAAGCTTAGGGGCATCGATCGAGGAAAAAGAACCCGAAACCCCAACCCTAAATTTTAGGGTTTTGGGGTAGGGTTAGGGTTTGGGGTTTAGGTTGAGGGTTTAGGGCTTAGGGTCTTGTTAAACCCTAAACCCTAAACCCTAAACCTCTAAACCCTAAACCCTAAACCCTAAACCCCAATAAGCCCCAAGCCCCAAGCCCCAAAACCCCGAACCCTAAACCCCAACACCTCGTAGCGACATTCGGCGGCAGAGGGACTAAGCCAAAAGTTCGTTGGGGCCCGGAGGCTGGGAAGCAAAGCCAAGGCCTCAAGAACCAGGGCTGAGCGTGTATTTAGGGTTTAGGGTTTAGGGTTTGGGGTTTAGGGTTTGGGGTTTAGGGTTTAGGGTTTGGGGTTTGGGGTTAGGGTTTAGGGTTTAGGGTTTAGGGTTTAGGGTTTAGGGTTTAGGGTTTAGGGTTTAGGGTTTAGGGTTTAGGGTTTAGGGTTCAGCATCTCAAGTCCAAGCATTCACTAGTCAAGCAGCTTGTCAAGCGTCGGAAAAAAATCCCACCCACCCAAGAAACCCATAACATTGAGAAAATATAAAGTTCAACCAATACTTTCCCGGTAGGCTTAAAGCTCAAAGTCTAGTTGGTCCAAAACTCACAATAGACCCTAAATCGTATGCCCCAAATCCTAAACCCTATGCCCCAAACCCCAAGAATGCTAAACCCCATGTCCCAAGTCCTACAGCCCTAATCCCTATGCCCCAAACCCTAAGAGCCCTAAACCCTTGTCTACCCCGGGTGGAAAAAACCATTTGCCGACGAAGGGGGTCAGGGTTTAGGGCCTCACCCAAAACCTAACGACGAAGGGGGTCAGGGTTTAGGGCCCGTCCGGGTGGAAAAAAACCATTTGCCCACGAAGGGGGTCAGGGTTTAGGGCCCCCCCCGGGTGGAAAAAAACCATTTGCCCACGAAGGGGGTCAGGGTTTAGGGCCCCCCCCGGGTGGAAAAAAACCATTTGCCCACGAAGGGGGTCAGGGTTTAGGGCCCCCCCGGGTGGAAAAAAACCATTTGCCCACGAAGGGGGTCAGGGTTTAGGGCCCCCCCGGGTGGAAAAAAACCATTTGCCCACGAAGGGGGTCAGGGTTTAGGGCCCCCCCGGGTGGAAAAAAACCATTTGCCCACGAAGGGGGTCAGGGTTTAGGGCCCCCCCCGGGTGGAAAAAAACCATTTGCCCACGAAGGGGGTCAGGGTTTAGGGGCCCCCCGGGTGGAAAAAAACCATTTGCCCACGAAGGGGGTCAGGGTTTAGGGCCCCCCCCGGGTGGAAAAAAACCATTTGCCCACGAAGGGGGTCAGGGTTTAGGGCCCTCCCGGGTGGAAAAAAACCATTTGCCCACGAAGGGGGTCAGGGTTTAGGGCTCCCCCGGGTGGAAAAAAACCATTTGCCCACGAAGGGGGTCAGGGTTTAGGGCCCAAAGGCTCGGTTTTGATCAAAAATCCAGAAAACGAGAGCCCACCCAGAAGCGTCGATTTCAGTACTAAAAAATCGCATTTTGAACTGGGACCCGGGCCGATCCTGGGGTCCCCCTCATTTGGGGTGTTTTTGGAGGCACGGCCCAGGAAAAAAAAAACCATTTGCCCACGAAGGGGGTCAGGGTTTAGGGCCCAGAAAAAAAAACCACATGCCCACGAAGGTCATTAGGGTTTAAATATACATAGTAAGAGAGGGTTTAGGGTTTAGGGTTTAGGGTTTAGGGTTTGGGCTTAGGGTTTAGGGTTTAGGGTTTAGGGTTTAGGGTTTAGGGTTAACCCTAAACCCTCAGCAACCTAACCCCAAAGTAAAAGCCAGCAGGGCACGGAAGGTTGTCACCGAGATCGCCACTGGCGCGCCCGAATCGAGGCTTTCCCAGCTTGCACCTTGCAGCTCAAGGGTTAGGGTTTAGGGTTTAGGGTTTAGGGTTTAGGGTTTAGGGTTCAGGGTTCAGGGTTCAGGGTTCAGGGTTCAGGGCTCAGGGTTCAGGGCCTTGGGTGGAGAGTCCAGGGTTTACGTTTTAGGGTTGTGGAAATGAGGGTCCAGGATGCTTTGTCGATCACCTCGGGAAGCTTCAGGGACATAATGGTGCGCCACGACGTGCCAAGGACAAACAGGGGGGTGGGGTATAGCAGAGGTATTATGTCCTTGGGGACCAAATGAACCTCAAAAGGGTTTATGGTCTATATATCTTAATAGGGATTATTGTAGTATAGGGTATCGGCCCCCCAATTTCAGGGTTCATTTCGTCCCCAAAGGATGTCCCTGGGAGTCCGTCAGAACCTGCGGATCTTTCGAACAACCCTCGTGTTCAAGGGGCAGGGTAGTGACAGGTCCAGATCTGCAGGAAGTGTGTGTATGTGTGCCATGGTGCGGAAACCCGGTGAAATGTTTTGTGTCTGGACCCAGAGAACAGCTTAGTCCGTCATCACAGACGTGTGCCACAGCCACCCGAATGGCTCAGCGCGGACGAAATCATGGCGCTGAATTCTGAATGTGCCGTGTGCCTGCCCAAGTGTGCACGGTCACCCATTCGCACGTATGGTAAACCGCTGAACCCTAACCCCTAAACCCTCAATAAACCCTGTAAACCCTCAACCCTAAACCTCTAAAACCCTATAGCCTGCAAGCTGATGTCCTCAACGCACACGAGCCCAGCTTCCAGGGCTGAGAGTTGAAAGGTCTCGTGCTTCGGGGGGTTTAGGGTTTCGGGTTTTAGGGTTTAGGGTTTAGGGTTTCGGGTTTCGAGTTTAGGAGTTAGGGTTTAGGGTCTCGAGCCTCGGGGTGAGGAATTTAGGGCTTCAGGCGCAGGGCTTGTTACTGTTTAAGAACCCTAAAGTATTTTACTTCGAACATCCCCACCTTAGGGATTTGGATTTTTCGGGCACTCCAGGGAGTCTCTGGGGTTGGGCACTCCAGGAGCCTCTGCGGTCTCTGGGGTTGGGGACTCCTGGGGGTTGGGCACTCCAGGGAGACTCTGGGGTTGGGCACTCTAGGAGCAGACCGGGCGAGGAGAAGAGTTGAGTTTAAAATCGAACAACCCCACACCGAAGGTGGGGAAAAATATGTAAATATATTTTCCTTATAAGGGTAATAAGGGGATGTTTTTTCATTTTTGGGGGGGTTCTTAAGCCTTAAGCAAATAGTAGTTTGGGATTTGGAGTTTGGTGGATGTTCTTGGACTGGTGCAGGATTCGGCTTCCAGCTGAGTTTTACATCCGCCATGGACAGCCCAGACTCCACCGAAGCCCTCCTAAACCCTAAACCCCAAATCCAAAACCCGAAGCCCTAAACACTAAACCCTAAACCCTAACCCTACACCCCAAACCCTAAACCCCAAGCCCCAAACCCTAAACCCTAAACCCCACACCCGCACTCCGAGCTGAAGCCGAGGTCGTGGCCAAAATCCACCGTGACGTTCACGGTGTCATCCCGTGCCAGGCCGCAGTCCTCCACCAGCCTGGCTTCGGATGTACCGGGCTTAGGGTTTAGGGTTTAGGGTTTAGGGTTTAGGGTTTAGGGTTTAGGGTGTAGGGTGTAGGGTGTAGGGTTTAGGGTTTAGAGGGTCACTGTTCTAGCATTCACTAGTCATGGGGGGGTTCCAGGCTTAGGAACAAGCCCACCCACCCAAAGAATCCCATAACATTAAAGAAATATAAGCTCACTCAACAACGCATCAAGAATGGCTCAAGAACGGTGCCACGCTCCAAAAAAGGCTCAAGAACGGTGCCGACGCACCAACAAATGCTGAAGAACGGTGCCGACGCACCACAAATGGCTCAAGAACGGTGCCGACACACCAAAAACGGCTCAAGAACGGTGCCGATTGCACCAAAAAGTGCTCAACAACGGGGGGTAAAAAGCTAATAGGGTTGAAATCTATAAGTATAGAGAGGGTTTAGGGCTTAGGGCTTAGGGCTTAGGGCTTAGGGCTTACGGCTTAGGGCTTAGGGCTTAGGGCTTAGGGCTTAGGGCTTAGGGCTTCGGGCTCAGGGCTTACTAGGGCAGGGTAGGGTTTATAGGTTGCAAGAGGGCCACGTGGCCGCAAAATTACGCAGCGGGGGGCCACGTTGCCGGAAAAAAAATAATTCAGCTGATGCTCATTATGCTCTCCTCCCGCCTCGTCAAATCTGCGCAGTCACTGGGGCGGTGGGTGTTGTGAGTGTCTGGAGCCTGGGGGGCCACGTGGCCGCAAAATAACGCAGCTGATGTTCATGATGCTCTCCTCCCGCCTCGTCAAATCTGCGCAGTCACTGGGGCGGTGGGTGTTGCGAGTGTCTGGAGCCTGGGGGGCCACGTTGCCGGAAAATAATGCAGCTGATGCTCATTATGCTCTCCTCCCGCCTCGTCAAAACTGCGCAGTCACTGGGGCGGTGGGTGTTGCAAGCGTCTGGAGCCTGGGGCGCCACGTGGCCGCAAAATACTACAGCTGATGCTCATGATGCTCTGGGGCGGTGGGTCTAGAGCCTGGGAGGCCACGTGGCTGGAAAATGACGCAGCTGATGCTCATGATGCTCTCCTCCCGCCTCGTCAAATCTACGCAGTCACTGGGGCGTTAGGTCTTCCAAGCGTCTGGTGCTCCAACAACCCCAATCGGCAATCTTGAGGCCGACCTCGAAGAACCCTAAACCCTAAAACCTGAGAGGTTTTGCACTCGGCCAAGGGCAAGCCTGTGTGTAGGGTCTCGAGGGGCTTCGGGTGTAGGGTACCCAAGTCTCGTTTGCGTTAGAGTGTTGGTGGAGTATCGGGTTCAGGGCGTCGAGGCGGTTTAGGGTTTAGGGTTTAGGGTTTAGGGTTTAGGGTTTAGGGCTACAGAGGTTACGGAGGTTCGGGGCTCCAACAAACTATGTAGAAGCGGTTAGTCTACCAAAGGTGCAACCTGCCTCGCGCCTTTCGCGCGGGTTTAGGGTATAGGGTTTAGGGTTGAGGGTTGAGGGTTGAGGGTTTAGGGTTTAGGGTTCAGGGTGCCTCTGTCCATCGCGAAGTCGCGAGCCGCGAAGCTGGAGCCTGACCCACGAAGGGGAGGCCTCGGAATGTCAGGGGTGACTTCTGCAGAAGTCTCAACTTGTTGTTTTTTTTTGGGGGGGAGAGGGGGGTTTAGGGTTAGGGGTTAGGCGTTTAGGGTTTAAGCTTTAGGAGTCCCTGTTACAGTAGATTCCTGTGCATTCCAGGGTAGAGGGTGTAGGGTTTGGGCTTTAAGGGTTTTGGGCTTAGGGCCAGGGTCCATAGTTTTCAGAACTACCCTGAAATGCAACAAAGGAACCCTGAGCCTTTCCGCCGAACGCTGCCGCAGCGTCTCCACCAGCATTCCTGGCCACACCGCTTGGGTGCCTTGCAGTTGGCCCCGGTAGAAGATGGAAAAGGCGCGCGGATGCTGGCGCACGGATGTAGCATCACGCCACTCGGCGATCTGGTTCTTTAAGTTCTGGTTCGATGTGAGCTCCTCTGATGCAAGCACCCCGCCCGTCATCGGACTGCGAACAGGCCCCGGCAAGCGGAACCACTGTAAGATGGCCTCACGCTCATAGGAGAAGCCGTCGGCAGCCACCACCGGATCGGCCATGACGTCGTGCCTTGGGGGCGGGGGAGAGGGGGGGGAGGGGGGGGGGGAATTCAGGGTTCAGCACCTTGGGGGGCGTAGGGTTGATTTTCGTCATTTACTTGTGTGACTGCCGGAAGCTTCGGACTTGAAGTCAGACAAGGTGCGTGATGGCACACCGGAAGGCCGGCGGGGCATCCTCGTTCGCTGGCTCCGCCGGCGCCGGCGAAGGCTGGAGGGCTTGAACGAAGGTGGCTTTGTGCTTCGTGGCCAGGCGCACGAAGTTGGTGGAGGACTGGCCCTTCATCCGCTCCACTCGCAGGAGCTCCTCCAGGATGAGGGCCGCCTTCCCCGCGCGAACAGCTGGGACATCCGAGGCCAGGATCTGCTGGAAGACCAGGAAGTTGGGATTGGCTCGCCACTTTCTCAAGGCGTCATCCAAAGCAGCCGGGGAGTCGTCCTCGGGTTCCGTCTCGTCCCATCCTTCTCCCCCGAGGTCATCCTCAGCCGAGTCTCCGTGCTCCGAGTCCTCCTCGAACCCTGTGTCTCCGCCCATGGATCTGGAGGTGTCCAAACATATCACCACTGCTTCCGACGCCGCGCGAGTTGCGAGGGAAGCCTCATCCTCCACTGCGCCACCTGCCTCTTGCTGCTGCCGAACCTCCCGCGCCAGCTGGTGCGGGCATTTGCTCAGCTCCTCCCCAGAAAGGGGGTCGAAAAGCAGCACATCACCGGCGCTGCACGGTGGCATGCCGCTGCAGACCACCACCTTATGGGGCACGGAAAGAGGAGCAGAAACTTGGGTCCTACATAGACTTTCATGCGAGGGTACAAAAACGCCGAAGCCCGGACCCTAAACCCTAAACCCTAAACCCTAAACCCTAAACCCTAAACCCTAAACCCTAAACCCTAAACCCTAAACCCTAAACCCTAAACCCTAACCCTAAACCCTAAACCCTAAACCCTAAACCCTAAACCCTAAACCCTAGCAGGCCTTGCCCTTTGGCCCCCGGGTGAGGCACGGGTGAACCGTGCGGCCCAAGACTTGGGCCGCTACCAGCTGCAAGAAGCTGGCCTTCCCAGGGTCTAGGGTTTAGGGTTTAGGGTTTAGGGTTTAGGGTTTAGGGTTTAGGGTTTAGGGTTTAGGGTTTAGGGTTTAGGGTTAGGGTTTAATGTGTCTGGGGGGTTGAGGTAGCCCTAAACCCTATAAACCCTAACCCTTAACCCTAAACCCTAAACCTTAAACCCTAAACCCTAAACCCTAAGGATTCGTTGAAGCTGTTGGGCGGGCTAGTGGGAGCTCGCCGATCCTCTCCGCGGCCGCACTCGCCCTGCAGCGTGGCCATGGGGTAGAGGCAGGAGCCTGGGTGGGCGCAAGGTGGAAGGTGCCAACCACCCTAAACCCTAAACCCTAAACCCTAAACCCTAAACCCTAAACCGTAAACCCTAAACCCTAAACCCTAAACCCTAAACCGTAAGCCCCTTTCAGGCTCTTATGACAGATGAGAGGCGGCGCGGACTGGTGCTCGAAGGCCCGAACCTTCGGACGCGCAGTTGCTCAAGCTACAAAAAGCTACAGGCTCTCTAGGGCAACTTACCCAGATTCGACAAGGGAGTGGGGTTGAGGGTTTAGGGTTTAGGGTTTAGGGTCTAGGGTTTAGGGTTTAGGGTTTAGGGTTTAGGGTTTAAGGTTTAGGGTTTAGGGGGCCTCAACACCTGGCTCATCCTGCCAAGGCGCCAGAGAGCCACCTCTCCACACCCAGGCCATGCGGCCTTCAGCCACACGGCATGCCTATGGAGCCATGCTCGGCCCATCACAGATCCGGAGTCCTCCACCGCTTGCTCCTCAGCCCGCTGGAGCCATGCGACATCCTCCTCTGCATCCAGCGACGCGACGGTAACAACTCTCCACTGCTCGTTCCCTCCATCCGAGTCACTTGCGCGATTCAGGAGCATGGAAAACAGAATCCGCGAGCGCTCGAAGGCCTTGTGTGGCGGCAGATCCGCAGGCAGCATGCCCTGCAGCACGAGGAAGACGGCGCTCGAGAGCGCCAGCTTGTCGTGCAGCCGGAGGGTCCCCGGGCGCCCTGCCATGACGGCCTGCAGCGCCGCCACAGCCGGAGGCGACTGCGACACGGCCCGGAAATGGCCCAAGACCCGACGCCGCAAAGCATCGTTGCTCACAAGGCGTTTGCCCATCATGCACAGTGAGGACAAGAAGCAGCTCAGTCCGGCATCAGACTGCTTGCATTGGAAAGGCTGCCAAGCAGCGCACGTCTGGAAGGCAGCGTAGAACGTGCCGGAACCGGAAGAAGCCTCAACTTGTGCGTCGGCCTCCTCTTGCATCACAGGCTGCGCGAAGAGCTCGCACACACCATCTGCTGGCTCGATGGCCAGCTCCACCAGGGTTTTGGACTCGCTCTCAGCGTCCAGCACCGGGAGGGGATGCCGATCAGTAAACAAAGCCAAGGATGCTGTAGCCACCGTGTTGACCTTCTGGTTCAAGATGCGCCGGAAGTCGACCATGCGAGTGCTCGCTGGCACCGTGAGCTGAAAATTTTGTAAGTCGGGGAGGTGGGTATGAACGACAAACGTTATCTGCCTCTCGCCGTCCCTCGCCTCTGCTGCGTCGTCGGTCATCTCGGCATCCGCGCCTTCGGATATCTTCGCCTCGGATGCCTCCGCATTGGGCCTCTTAGCCCTCTTGCCCGACACTGCCTTGGCCGTGGCTCGCTTTCTCCTCTTCTTCTTTGGCCCACGCAACCGCGACTTGCTTTCCCCGGCACCCGGACTCACGGGCGCAGGAACCTCGGAATCTTCTTTTGATGGACGTTGAGGCGGGGGGGGTTACAGCTTCGGGTCTTAGAGTTGACGGTTTAGGCCAAACAATAAAAAATGATCTTCCTTATAAGGGTAGTATAGGGATTATTATTCTATACTCTTTTGGGGTTCTGAAACAGTAGTTGAAGTCCCCAGGGTTGATGATAAGCAGCTTGCGGCTGCGTATCCGGCATCGGGTCGACCACCACCTTGACCGCAGTGTCCCTGCTGACCCCCACGTCTGCAGGAACGGCTTCGAACAGGTCAATGTCCACACCATCTTGCCGGGTCAGCCTCACAAACGACAGCTCTTTGTCGTCCATTCTGGGCTCGGCCTTGCGCCGCAGGTCATCCGCAATGTCGCCCTCCTCCAGAAAGACGCTTTGATCGCGGCCATGGTTGCTCAGCCATACCCGCCGACGCTTCGCGGCAGGCTCATCCGAAGCCATGACGCCGAGTGATCTGATGGGATTGTTGGCTATCACCCTAAACCCTAAACCCTAAACCCTAAACCCTAAAACAGCCGGGTCTGCCAAGGGAGCTTTAGTCGCATCCGTGGTTCTCAGCTGAACTGTGCCAAGAGCTTGGTGCCTACACAGACCAACTGAGAGGAACTGCTGCGCATGAAACCTTTTGTGTTCGTGGAGTCTCGCCGACTGGAAGTCAGATGTTGGGGATGCCAGAAGGGGGGAATTGGGGTTTAGGGTTTAGGGTTTAGGGTTTAGGGTTTAGGGTTTGGCACATGAGATCAGAAAGCTTCTCAAGCTAGACGTGTCATGCGTCCTTGTGTATGGAGCTTTGAGCATCTGAAGCACCTCAGCATCACTTCGGGGTTTAGGGTTTAGGGTTTAGGGTTTAGGGTTTAGGGTTTAGGGTTTAGGGTTTAGGGTTTAGGGTTTAGGGTTTAGGGTTTAGGGTTTAGGGTTTAGGGTTTAGGGTCGGACCTCTGAAGGTGAGAGATTCATCTTGCTGGTCGCAGCAACTGGTGTGACGGCTCCAACTCCCTTCTGACATCCGCTCCTATGAAACGACGTCCCTGCTGCTCGTGCCTGCTTCTCAGCAACAGGTACCTTGTCTAGCAGCTGTAAGATCATGTAACAACCACCAATAGGTCACCACAAGAGGCACATTCTCTAGAGGCAAGCTGCCCCGGGGGGGTAGAGGGGGGGTAGGGAATCTCGTGACCTTGTTCCACATGTACGAGTTGCACCTTCAACCTTCCGCTGTCTCCGACAGCTTTGCAGATCTTTTTCTGTGCCATTTTGAGAGCCTCCGGCGCTTGAGCAGACGGCCTATGCATCCGCCCACAGCCCAAACTTGTCCTACCAGAGCTACACATCCGGCTCGCATCACCCATCTCAGGGTGGCTGCGTGTAGACGTCTACCGGGAATGCAACAGAAAAAGTAGGGAGCAAGTCGGTTTGCCGACGCTGGCTTCGAGACACAAAACGATGTGGCAGCTCCAACGAGCGGAAAAAGGGGACTTCCACGCCGCGGTTTCGCGGACGTCTATGGACAATGCTTGGACAGGAAGTCCAGCAACACCTTCCGACCGTTCTCCGACTGGTAGAAGTTGTAGCCTTCACTCCGGTTCCGCCCGCGCGTCTTGAAGGGAAGGGGCTCCCCTGGGTCAAGGAAATGGAACTCGTTGCGGCCCTTAAGGCTGTCAGGCAAGCTCTTGCCGAACTCTGCGAACATGTCGGGGCACGCCTGCTCCTTGGGGGATGAAAGGAAGCCCAGAATTGCAATAAAGACCTATACTTCTGCAACCCCCTATTAAGGTATGTGGGCCCTAAACCCTAAGCCCAGGACCCTCAACCCTAAACCCTAAACCCTACACCCCTCTTGGGGTTCAAAATTGGTCCCCCAAGGCTCATGGTAATCCAGAAGGTCATGCTTCGCGTCGCAGTAGAGCACGGGAACCTTTACCTTAAGGACCACATGAACCCTGAAAGTTTTGGGGTTTAGAGTTGAAGGCCTAGAATTTAGGGTTTAGGGTTTAGGGTTTCAGGTTTAGGGTTTAGGGTTTCGGGTTTAGGGTTTAGGGTTTAGGGTTCAGGCTTTAGGGTATGTACCCTCAGACGGACTATCGTGGTAATGGGGCATATGAAGCCAAGCTTAGGGTGAATTCTGGTCCCCAAGGTACGTCAGGCGCATACTTCTTTGCAGAGATGCGCTCCATCGTAACATGCACGTCCGGGTTCTTGAGCAACCCGTCCTGTGCATAATACATGCTGTAGAGTTTAGGGTTTAGGGTTTAGGGTTTAGGGTTTAGGGTTTGGGGTTTAGGGTTTAGGGTTTAGGGTTTAGGGTTTAGGGTTTAGGGTTTAGGGTTTAGGGTTTAGAGCTTCGGGTTTAGGGTTAAGGGTTTCGGGTTTCGGGTTTAGGGTACCACGTGTCATGTTAGATGATGGTCTGTATTGATCTTTTGCATGTCATGCCAGACATACTACGAAAAACTTCAGCATGCGATGTCATGTTGCATGCGTCCACACGTTTTGCTGTTCTAGAATATACTGCATTGGATTGTATTATGTTGAACTATGTGGAGTTGTCCTAGATACAAATCTATTCATCTTTTTTTATGTTACATTCCAAAACTTCTAAGCAAAATAGAACAGAGCAGAATGCAATACAATGGAACATAAAATGTTCGATTGGATTATAAATTGGATTGGTATAGAGAGAGTAGCATATGCGTAACACATCACCTAGCAAAACACACAAAGAACGCAATACCTTTGCAATATAAACAAGCAGGGTCATACAAAATAGCATATGCCCTAACCTAAACCCGACACCCTAAACCCTAAACCCGAAACCCTAAACCCTAAACCGTTATGACACTGGGGGCACCTTATTAGGGGTCCTGAGTCTAAGGTAATCCTACGCTCATATTTTCGTAAGCTCCCATATGACCAATGATTTTTTCCCGTAACCCTAAACCCTAAACCCTAAACCCTAAACCCCAAACCCTAAACTACTATCAAAACCCTTATAGGATTAAGGACTGTGAGGAGAAGGGGTAGCATCCCAACCAATGATGGTTTTTGGAGCTCTAAACCCTAAACCCTTAAACCCTAAACCCTAAACCCTAAACCCCAAACCCCAAACCCTAAACCCAAAACCCCCCCCAAAAAAAACATCATTTTTTTGGAGCATCCCGTCCTTGACGTACTGCGCCTGCTTTTCCTGGAAGGCCTCGGCCAGCGCTGGTGGGAGCCAGGCACGACGAGCCCGAACGAAGGTTTGGGGTTTGGGGTTTGGGGTTTGGGGTTTAGGGCTTAGGGTTTAGGGTTTAGGGTTTATTTCGGGTTTAGGGATTATTTCGGGTTTGGGGTTCATTTAGGGGTTTAGGGGTTAGCGTTTACTCGTGGATATGCAAAACCAACCCACGTCCTGCTATGCTAAGCTATGCCCAAACTACCCAAAGCCAAACCCTAAACCCTAAACCCTAAACCCTAAACCCTAAACCCTAAACTCAGCCCAAATGTGCCTCAACTCACAGCTTGAGCTTTGAGATGTTTACCAGGGGCAGATGCAAGGAGTTTCGATCCAAAGCATTGCCCCATCACAAGGCGGGCACCCTTGAACAAGGGGTCCCAAAAAAGGGACCCGAGTTTTGGAGAACTGTCCATATCCTATCCTGCTATGTCAAGCATGACCTTCAAGCCCGCTCAAAAACTCTGCTCTCAGCCCTCGACCTCGTTGGCAAGCTTGGCACTCCCCAGGCCCATCAAGTAGGGCCGGTTACCAACTGCAGTGGGGATGTGCAAAATGTTCGTGGTGACCCACGCGAACACCTGAGTCATCTGCCTGCCGCCCTCTAGGAACTACGAATTCTGTAGCACAACTCGATCCTGGCCGAGAGTCATTCTTGAACTTGTCCGGGGCAAGGGAGTTGGCCTTCAAGAAGGCGATGCCAGAAACGCAGAAGGGCAGCAGCGCGACCTCGGAAGGTTTCAGGGTTTAGGGTTTAGGGTTTAGGGTTTAGGGTTTAGGGTTTAGGGTTTAGGGTTTAGGGTTTAGGGTTTAGGGTTTAGGGTTTAGGGTTTAGGGTTTAGGGTTTAGGGTTTAGGGTTTAGGGTTTAGGGTGCAGGGAGACGAACACAACGGAAACTCTGCCAGGCCTCCAACCCTTCCCCTCACACACTGCACAGCACACCTGGGCTTCCAGCCCTAAACCCTAAACCCTAAACCCTAAACCCCAAACCCCAAACCCTAAACCCTAAACCCTAAACCCTAAACCCTAAACCTTCCAGCCTTGCATGTCTTCAGGACTGCATGACTGTTCACCCAGGTCATCACTCCCAGGGCGTCCATGTACTCAATCTCCCCGAAACCGGATGGAAGACGCTTCTCGGACTCACCGTGGTTGCGCAGGTCATAGGCCACGACATGGTACCCAGCATCGAACCTTGCAGTTCAAACGCATCCTAAAATTGGGATCCTACTACCCCATACTACTTTAACCTCCCATCCCATGCCAAGAAGTATTCAGGCCCTAACCCCTAAACCCTAAACCCTCAACCCTCAACCCTCAACCCTAAACCCTAAACCCTAAACCCTTTAGGTTTCATTCAGCCCCCAAGGGACAAGACTCTGTGAAGCTTCACGTAGTCGATCGCCTCAACGGTCACAAGGCCATGCCGCCGATGGGTCACGCAGCCGGACTTGTTGGCGCACGCCCAAGACCTTGGGGACGAAATGAACCCAAACATTGGGGGGGCATAGACCCTACATACTACCATAACTCCTATTAAGGTATATGAACCCTAAACCCTTTTAGGGTTCATGTCAAGGGGCTGGTGTCCCACGATGGCGAGCTTCTTGGAGGAGGGGTCTTGGGCCGGGATGTACCAGGCAGCAATCTGGCAGCCATCGCTGGCAGGGAAGCGGACGTCCTCGAAACTCATGCCGTGGTCCTTGGGCGTCCGGACCATCGTGTCTGCCATAGAACCGGTCCAGGGCGCGTCCATGATGGTGTGAGCCTGGTACTTGTACACTCCAAGTGCCCGCGCGAGCTTTTGAAGAAGGCTGGGTTCTCCTCAGCTCCACTACATCTCCCGCTAGAGGCTCCATTAAAAGACTTGCCCCACCTTTAGCCAAAAGATGGGAACACACACCGTCGTGCCGGCCGGGCTGCGCTTCAAGAACTCTTCTTCAGGCATGCGGGGGAAGCAGCTCTCAAAAACCTTCTCGAAACAGCATGGGGGCGTCGTGACCAGCGCCATGTTAAGATCTTAGCGATCTCAAGCGCGGAGTGTCACTTCGTCACTTGGGCCACAAGGCTTGTGCGGTCAGGCACCAACTACAACATGCAACCTAAGCAAAGGCCACAAAGGGCCATCCAATCTTTAGCCGCATGTGCAGAGTGCCTCGCGTGTGCAAAGGACCCCACGCCTTGTTCATTCCCACTTCGGGGTTCAACCCCAAACCTATACCCTGAACCCTGACAATTACTATATATGGAAGTACTGTATATTTGTCTTCGATATTTGATTCTTCAACTGATGGCTTTGTTGCTCAATCAGTAGAATCTATGTGTGGTAATGTTTATATAAGCTAAAACAGGTTCAACCAGTAACCTAAAACCCAAACCCTCTTCCGGGTTCACCCAAGGCCCAATCAAAAGCGTCCAAAACGAGGCATGGGCGCTCATGATGTCTCTCTGTCGCTCACAAGTTGAGGTTAAGATTCCTTGGTAGCTTGCGCCTTGCACGCTTTTTTGACACCATCGCCGGATACCATAGGACTCAAGTGACGCTTCATGGGGTTCGGCAGAATTTTCGGTGGACCCCCCCTCTGTCTTCGCCAAGTACAACAGCGCCAATTTTGGCGGATCTCGGATCTCGCGGGGCATGGGCCGATTCTCGCCTTTGGCAGAAGTCGCAATACAGCAGATACGGCGCATCTATGATCGCGGCAGTTCGCGGGTTCCCCCCCTGAAACCCCAAACCTTAAACCATAAATTTGAGCCCCAAGCGCTAAACCCAAAACCCAAAACGGCACACCAACAGGGGCGGGGAGGGGTGGATACCACGGGGGGGGGGAAGGGGGGACCGGGACCGGGCGCGCTCTAATCATATATACATATGTATATGGTACCCCACCCCCCCCCGGTACCCAGGTCTCCTTTTGTTCCCTGCCTGACGTACCGGCCTCAGATAAGTTGCCTCTTGGAGGGTGTGGGGTTTAGGGCTTGGCCTCACTGCCAGATGCCATGATGTTTGTTTGACTACTTTCAAGGCTTCAAGTGCTGAAAGTGCTGTACTGCCCCTAGAAAACCAATCCCACAAGCCGTAAAATTTTCCATTCTGGTGGCCTATACAGACAAGCACTCGCGAAAAGATTGGTTTTTAGGGTCAGTACTTTGATGGCCTGAGCAACTGAAAGTGCTGTACTGTCCCGAAAAAATCAATCTTTGGAAGAGGGTCTGTCTGCATAGGCCTCCAAAATTGGTTGTTTAAGTTTTGTACGGCACTTTCTGCTTGTGGGATTGGTTTTTTAGGGACAGTACAGGGACAGTACGGCACTTTCTGCTTGTGGGATTTGTTTTTTAGGGACAATACAGCACTTTGAAGGCCTGAGGCGCTGAAAGTGCTGCACTGTCCCTAAACAACCAATCTTTGGAAGAGGGCCTTTATTTCTGTTTGCTGTAAATTGCATTTGCTTTCAACTGGAGATCAAATGTATATCTTGTTTAGGGAAAATTCAATCTCACTTCATCTCTGGTGGAGTAAGTGAATCAAAACCGGACGCAAAACACTAATCAATCAGACTCATTCACAATCACACCTTTTTCATGCCGGTGGCAGATGATCTTGGGGAAAGTTCGAGTAGAACTCCCAGTGCACCATACCTACGGCATGCGTGCTGCATCCAAATGCTTTGGATACGGGACATGACATCAGGAGATGATCATGCCTCTCACAACCCCGGGTGTGCTGGGTGGGAGACAAAAATTTTTCTGTGCACCTTACTCGAACCGAGGTGCTGCAGATATCACATGTTGTTTCACAAAACATGACATCTGCATTCAAGAAAATGGGCTCGTGCTTCACTTGCCATTTTAAATGTCATGATGCGTGCATGTGTGTGCATCACAAATGGACACGTCCCGTTTTAAAACAAAACACCGCAAATGCAACCAGAAATTTTTCCCCAAGAAAAATTTCGTGACACAGCCACAGAAATAATGCCTTGTCCATCGCGATGGAAGGCCGTCTTATTTCTGTTTGCTGTAAATTGCATTTGCTTTCAACTGGAGATCAAATGTATATCTTGTTTAGGGAAAATTCAATCTCACTTCATCTCTGGTGGAGTAAGTGAATCAAGAATCTATTTCAAAACCGGACGCAAAACACTAATCAATCAGACTCATTCACAATCACACCTTTTTCATGCCGGTGGCAGATGATCTTGGGGAAAGTTCGAGTAGAACTCCCAGTGCACCATACCTACGGCATGCGTGCTGCATCCAAATGCTTTGGATACGGGACATGACATCAGGAGATGATCATGCCTCTCACAACCCCGGGTGGGCTGGGTGGGAGACAAAAATTTTTCTGTGCACCTTACTCGAACCGAGGTGCTGCAGATATCACATGTTGTTTCACAAAACATGACATCTGATTCAAGAAAATGGGCTCGTGCTTCACTTGCCATTTTAAATGTCATGATGCGTGCATGTGTGTGCATCACAAATGGACACGTCCCGTTTTAAAACAAAACACCGCAAACGCAACCAGAAATTTTTCCCCAAGAAAAATTTCGTGATACAGCCACAGAAATAATGCCTTGTCCATCGCGATGGAAGGCCGTCTTATTTCTGTTTGCTGTAAATTGCATTTGCTTTCAACTGGAGATCAAATGTAGATCTTGTTTAGGGAAAATTCAATCTCACTTCATCTCTGGTGAAGTAAGTGAATCAAGAATCTATTTCAAAACCGGATGCAAAGCACTAATCAATCAGACTCATTCACAATCACACCTTTTTCATGCCGGTGGCAGATGATCTTGGGGAAAGTTCGAGTAGAACTCCCAGCGCACCATACCTACGGCATGCGTGCTGCATCCAAATGCTTTGGATACGGGACATGACATCAGGAGATGATCATGCCTCTCACAACCCCCAAGACTCAAAGGCGTGATCAACGAGTGTATCAAGATCGATCGTGAATTCTTTGCCCAGCTCCGGATCTTTAGAGCCGCGTGAGGGGGCATCTGCCACGTTTGAGCAGGTGTTCACGCGTTCAAACCAGATGTTAAGCCCAAGCTCGTCACACAGCACATGAACATGCTGAGCAATCACTTCTCCATACTTGTTGCTTGAAATTCCGGCAACCATACAGGCCAGGGCACCCTCGTTGTCAGTAAACACAACAAGGTTGGTACTGCGAATGAGCGGAGCCCACAACCTGAGTCCGACAAGGATTGCTAAGCATTCGTACTCGAAAATGGGGTTGCCGCTCTCAGGATTCATGCGACGTCTCACATGCTCAGACGCGCGTTCACTGAAAAAGCCCATCTTCGAACCCACTTCATTAACAAGAACACCTCCCAAGCCTACGTTATCACCCTCACAAGAGGCGTCAACATAAAGATGCATGGTAGTCAATATGTTGGCGCAGATCACCCTGGGCGGTGAAAAGTTGACTCGGTCGCGCAACCTTAGCAGGGCTACCCTGGTGCACTCATCCAGGTGTCCTCCTCCTCGAAGCACAAACCGCGACAGTTGTTTGTAGGCTGTTCCAGCAATCTTTCCAGCTATCTGGTTTTCAGCAAACTGGAGTCTGCCCCTGATGCGTTCGCCATCCTTTTGCGGGAGGTAACCAGACGACAGGATGTCGGACAAGGCCTCGAAGATCTCGTCTCGCCTCGACTCCGTATTACACAGAGTGATACGTCCGAGACGGGACTCAGACAAGTCGAACTTCAACCCCAATACTTTCGCACAGGAGTCGAACACAGACTCTTTGTCTTCGGCGACATCCCACCCCAACAAGCGGAATACTAGGCAAACACCAATGTCGAAGAGGCGGGCCAGAGGGGCCAGCTCCACACCCACAAAGTCGTCAAAATAAACGTTGATGTGGCACAAGAACAACACTACAAGGACTTTCCATATCCCTAGTGACACCCGGCAAAATGCGTGCACACTGTGCCGTGATCCAAACGGAAGAACCTTTTGTCGGAAAATTCGGGGACATTTCCCTTTTGGGTCGTAGACGCACAAGAAACTGTCCTCTAGTGCCTCCAGGGATAGCGGAAGGTTTTTGTAGGCCTTGTGAAGGTCCCAGGACTTCAAGAGAAGTTGATGCAACCTGCACTTCGCATCGGCCCTGAGTCGACGGGCCAAACCTGATGCTATGCAGTCGGCGGTGTGCACGGTGATTGTGTCGTACGATGAAGAGGTGGCATTCAAACCACTTTCAAGGTAGTTATCGATGGGCCGTGTTTTGTTATTCTGCACAACGCCAAAGCGCCTGGTCAACAAAGAGCTGGCCCCCAGGTCGCTCTCTTTCAGCGGCCCATCCAGCCACCCCCGCTCCACCTCGTCCAAGGTGACTCGGTAAGTCTCAGCATCCACCACATCATCTCCTGAGCTTTTGGTGGAGTTTAGGATGCCCTTCCGCATTCGTTGCGCTGACCCTCGCAGGTCATCGACCGCCATGGTGGCAGCTGTACGCTTAGCGCGGAACTCAGGACAGTAGGGGATCGGGCCTCCTAAAGCAAAACCCTTAGACATATCCGCAACCAACGACGGATCATTGTGGCCGGCAGCCTCAATCATCTCGCCGAAAAGAAGCAGCCTTTTCTTGCCCAGGGTTTTCGCACAGTGCTTGGGCAGTGTCTCCTTATACACACGTTCTTGCTCGTCGAGCTCTGCGGCTCGCCCTAGCCACTGACGTAAAGCTTCAGTCCTACTGGCACCGACGGCGTGCATGCCCTCCGACGCCAAGAAGTCAATAGTTTGCTGCAACTCAGGCGGAACTCCCGAGCTCATAAGACGTGGGTGCTTAGCCTCAAGCGCTTGCTTGATGAATTCATCGCACGTCCACGGTACTCCAACCCACGTCCTAAACCTATCGGGAACCCTACCTAATGGGGGGGAGCCTTCCTCGGGCCCTGCCGGTGAGGAGGCTTGGTGTCTTGGTTGTTCGGGTAAAGCAAACCCCACACACTGCAGCTCAGCCGTTTGGTCTGCAGTCAAGCGATCTGTGTGATTGGTGGTGTAGGCAACAAGTATGTCACGTGTCGCCCCATGCCTGGGCATTGCACAGTGCTTATGGTGGGGGTTAAACAGGATCCGGTTGGACTCGAACTTCAGCTCACAGCCCATCAAGTCAGGCACGTTCGGATCTGGGCAGGGCACGTCCCCAAGCTCATTGTGTATCCAAATTCCACCCTCGAAAGATGAAAGTTTTAAAACACAGTTAGGGAAACCTTGGGCATTGTTTTTGTCAACATGAACCCCTCCTTGAAGGTTTCGTCCAAGCATGATGGCTGAGAACGGATGCCCTGGTGCATGCTGTTTTACGAACTGACACAGCATATTACTGACAGCCGGGTTGAGCCGCAGGTTAGCCCTGACCCCGGTAACCCCTCCCTGTGCATAGGCCCCTGTGGACCACGAAAACTCATCATCCAGGCCAGCACCTCTGGCCAAGCGGTCCGACTTCAAGAGTTGGAACAGCTGAATTACATCATCAGCCAAGATAGTTTTCTGTTGAAGGCACACAGAGGCGAACTGCTCGACTGGGCAGTTCGGGTTTCCCGGATTCCTACTGCTTGGCTGGGATGAAGGTTCAGAACGCGGCGTCTCCCCACCCCCAAGTGCAACACGTCGCAATATACGAGAACCCATAGGCAGCTCCGGCAAGGGCGGGTCACACGAGGCTGAGGGTGGAACAGGCACGGCCACAGGCAGCTTGGCTGAAGCAGGCAAGAAGTCATGGTCAGATGTCACAACGACCACAACCATAGGAGCAACCTTCTTGCCACGGGGTTGGTAGCCGAGACTGACCTGGGCCGCTCTATGTTGCTGCCGAACCTCGTCTGACAGGGAACGAGCAGGCAGCTGGAACCCACGCTGGCAGAGCTCCTCAAGCAGGAGCGCGGCGACCGCCTTGCACAACCCAAGCGGGTAAGCGGTCTCCTCACTAGTAGCATAGCGGAACTTAGACACACGACCCCAAGGCAGATGCTTATGGGAGGCAGACTCGCCAGGGCACGTCAGGTTGAGTTGGTCGAAGGCTGGCACGTTGTGCACCCACAACGTATGCTTGGGGCGGTTGCCCCCGTAGCAACAATGGTCAAACACAGCTTCCCGCAAGGACAAACCGGAAGTGCCCTGACGCCACGCAGTGGTCTGCCACATGAAAGAATTCAGGGGATTCTCGCAGCTGACAAGCTTGCCGGCAAGAACAGCCCGTTTCAGGGCTGCAGCGGTCACGCCATAGAGGCGGTTGGCTGCAGCCACGCGTTGAGCCAAAAGGTCAGGAAGATCGGGTAGGCCATCAGGAAAGGTATCATCCCGACACGGTTCGGGGTCGTGAGCGGTCGCTTGGATCAGGCGAGCACGGGAGCTCGTGCCACACGGTGGTGCAAAATGCACATAAAGACAAAAAGGGTTGTCGATCATGTCATGCAAAAGCTGTACATCAAAATCACGAGTGAGATCAAGTTTGACCATGGGACAAGGGCAATGCCTGGGGATCCGATGATCGACGCCACAGGAATCTTGCAGGCCTATGGCACGACGTGCCACAGTGAGACGAGCGCTGCCCGCAAACACTTCAAGAGCATGGAAAACAGTCAGCTGCTTGCTACCGCCAGGGTGAGCTGCACTTTCTGAAAGGGGAACATCAGGCCGAGCAGGTAACACCTCCACCGGCAACAAGCCAGCAGGCACAGCAGCCTCTTCCACAGGGGCCGCAGGCTGAGGTTGGGAACATGAAGTGATTGCGGGCTCCGCCAGTCAAGCGAGTTTCTTGGGGCACACATGTGCCCCATGCATACCTCCACACCGCATGCAAACGTGCAAGCCCTTGCTGCAAGTTTGTCCGGCTTTGGCGCCGGGACAGCCTGCGGCCATGTTAAAACCCCAGCAGCGCCGTTTCCCGGTTCGTGTCCATGATGAGAGGCCTCGCAGCTCAGAAGGCAGGTTGGCGGGCTCAGTAGGGGTTTGCTTGTCCTTCCCTTTACCCTTGCCTTTGGGCTTCCGGGGCTTCTTGGCTGGGGGCCCCTCAGGGGGGTCAGGAACGCCCGGCGGGGCGGGCGCAGGATGCTTGCCCGAAGAGTCAGGAAGAGGCAAAAGATGAAAGACCACGCGCGGGTCCTTCTGCAAATCAGCCCAGAGGCTATCCAACGGCAATTCACCTGTAGCCTTGCGACGCACCCCGGCTGGGGTTAACTCGGACAAACGGACCCAGGCGGCTCTATCAGCGTGGAGGAGTTGCTGAACAGTAGGACTGCGGTATCCCGCCAGGACAGGCTGCTGCAGGTGGTTCATAAGAAAGGAGTTCCACTCTTGCACATGAGCATATGTGCTAAGTCCAACAAGATCCATGGCCAACGCTCGACGGTGCAGGGCCTGGAACAGCTCAAGGGCATGCGTCACGTCGCAATGCTGCTCTGCAGCGCGGTCCTTGATAAGGACCACGGAAGATGAAGATCCCGGGGCTGCGACATCAAGTTCCTTGCGGGGCTTGTCCATACGCAGTTCCGCCTGACGGCAGGTAAACTTCGAAGGCTGAAGATACGAGACACAGTTGTCAGAGATCAGCTTCAGGCAAAGGTCATAGCTTGCATGCGAGCGCTCGTTGACACCAGACAAGTCAACACCTGCAAGGCGGGCAGCTTGCTTCTGCAGGCGATCACGCCGCTCTGCTGGAGGCAATTCTTTTGGCTGCTCTTCTTTATTCTCAACTAGGCACTTGGTCTCATTGACAACCAACGTCTGTGCTTCGAAGACTAACCGGCGTACCGCGGCGACGGTACCAAGAGAGGGATCGGCACCTCCCGCACCCCCGGCTGCAGCTACTGGAGCAACTAAGGCCTTGAGTTTTTCGTCACTGGGGGACTCCCCGGGATGACCAGGAGCGAACGCCAGTTTGGCCAAAGTGTCGACGCCCTGGTCAAGCAGCCGTTGCAAGGCATCATCTGGCAACCCCACCTTAGCGGCACGCTCTTTCAAAACTGCAGTAGATTCAGTCAACAAGGCAGACATGGCGCACAGGATCTTAGGGCAAGCGAAAACTGGACCTAACAACACCTGTTTGAGATCTCTAAGTCCGTATGCGTCCAAGCTTATCAAAGAATTCTGAGTGAAATGGTCCAGCGAATAGATCGCATTCATCAGAATATCCAATGTCGAAAAAAAAGGGAATATCGCAGAAGCTCAATTCAGTACCCTCTTTTGTTTCTCGAAGAAATGGCGGATCACAAAACGCAAGACCACCCGAAAGAAACGATTGGCGATCATGCTCAAAACGTTCTGCACAAAAGCGATTCAACGTGGCAACTTACCAGCTGCCAAGAACCGAAGAGCAGAAAAGCACGATAACACCAAAATCGGATAAAAGGGTCGAGACTCCCACGACCCTACATGGCTGGTGCATGGGGATGGATGGTGGGTGACACAAAACCGGATTCACCGGAAAGTAAGCTTGAACAGCTGACAGCTTCAAATGAAAGCGAAATGCCGAGCTTGCAAATTTCGTTTCCTAAAACAGGAAAACGGTTCAGCAAGGTAAACTCGGAAATCAGTTCGCAGAAAAAAACATTGAAGCATGTCTTCCGGGCTTCAGACCCCAAACAGCCGCGTTAGAAACACAAGCCGTTTGAGATCTCTAAGTCCGTATGCGTCCAAGCTTATCAAAGAATTCTGAGTGAAATGGTCCAGCGAATAGATCGCATTCATCAGAATATCCAATGTCGAAAAAAAAGGGAATATCGCAGAAGCCCAATTCAGTACCCTCTTTTGTTTCTCGAAGAAATGGCGGATCACAAAACGCAAGACCACCCGAAAGAAACGATTGGCGATCATGCTCAAAACGTTCTGCACAAAAGCGATTCAACGTGGCAACTTACCAGCTGCCAAGAACCGAAGAGCAGAAAAGCACGATAACACCAAAATCGGATAAAAGGGTCGAGACTCCCAAAAGTACTCGTTTCACGACCCGCAGGGGAATTCGACCCCAAATATCACATTCGAGAAACAGGTACAGAAGAGCAGGACCGCGCAATATTCCATCTTTTCACACGCAGAAGCACTGTTAGTCTGCAAAGGCTCGGAAGGCAGCAGGCCACTGAGAGCCAGGGGGAAACAAGAGAGCGCGGCCTTGAGGTCGAAGTAAGTGAGCCACAGGAGGCTGACAGCGGTCAGCAAGTGGCAGCGGACTAAGACCTCCCTTGAGACGACTGAGCTCGTCCGCAAGGTCGTTGCGATATCCAGGAATGTGCTCAATGTCAGCACAAAGGCCGGACCAGCGTTGAAAGCACATGAAGCAAGAAAGGACAGCTGCAAGAGCTGGCACAGAGCTAAGTCCGTTCTCGGCGACTGCTTCAGCTCCCGAGTTGTCCAAACGAAGGCAAACACGAAGTGGTCCTCGGCAAGAGGGAAGCGTGTCGTGGATGCACCACAGGAGCAGCAATTGGGCCAGCAGCTCCAAGGCTGATATGTGGGCCTGCAAAGGGGCAGAGAAGAGAGGCAGATGTTCAGCCGCCACAGAAGCAGACCAGTGCAAGGAGAACCACCTAGAAACACCCGAAGGCCAGGTGACGTAACCTCCTAAACCACACCCCAGCTCGTCAGCAAACGCGTCAGCCTCAGCGACTAAGGGTAGCACAGGAGGTGAGCGAAGACTGAAGATGAAGGGAGTGTCTGCCAGCAGGGCCAACCAGGACTCGGCTGCATTGCGAGCATCATCATTGATCTCGCGAAATGGATGATCAGGCATGCGCACCTCAACCCACAGACGCCTTTTCAGGAAAGGATGCCCCACAAGATCAGTTTTCGTCAACACTTGGCGATTCGCCACACGAGAAATGCGTGCACGAGCTGGAAAGGACGCATGAGACGTAGCCCTCGTGAGCACACAGTCGTCATCTACCAGAGCGCAGATGGACTGCCAAAGCGAGGGCTGAACCGCCACACAAGACGAAGGGATGCGAGCCATGATCTTACACAAGGGGGCAAGCAAGGGGCGCAACAGGTGCCAGAGACTGGTCAGCCAAAGCAGCCTGCCAATCAGCGATTCAAGCTCCTTGACCTTTATGCGTGTAGCTCCTGGCCGAGCCAGCGCTCGAAGAGGCTCCAAGATCTTCGAAAGTTTCTCCGGAGGCAGAGACACGGTCCAACTGCGGAGATCGATGTCCCAGCCTATCCATCGCGCGCATGGACCCCAGGATGCCTTGGACCAGGACAGAGGGACTCGCAGAGCCAGGAATAGCAAGATCCAGAGTCCTGCATAGACAGGCGCAGTGTCAGCGCGAAAGACGCCGAAGTAGTCGTCCACATAAGCAAACATCAGATGTGCAACCCATACCAACTTATGTGAAAGACGAAGCAAAGCTCCAGCAATACGACCCCACCACCAAGAGGAAGCTTTGGCACCGAAGTTAAGTGTTCTGGACACAAAGGCACGACCCTGGAATGTGAAGGACAGGAGTCCCTGGTCCAAGGACGAAATCATGACCTGCCGGTGAGCTTTGCGCACATCCAAGGAAACAACAATCCACTCCTCCGAGGCAAGCGAAATCGGCGCACAGGCCTGAAGATCTGAAATGCGTGGATTGAGCAGGTGGTTAGGGATGACACAAGATGAAGTAACCCCACTAATGCTCGAGTCCACAACGAGTCGGGGAGATCGACCTTCAGCAAGAACCAACCCCAGCTTCCCGAAAGCAACTTTAGGAAACGCGGCTTTCACTGCCTCCACGGAAGGATACTCCACGATCCAACCCTCACGCAGCTCCTCCTCCAGGAGACTGAGGACTTGAGCGGGCTGGTCCGATGCGGACTTCCAGCTACCATGACAAATCTGCAGATCTTCTTCCAAGGAATCGCTTTGCCGGACCGGCCAGTGAGGAGATGGTGCAAGCTCATACCCGACACCAATCCGAACCCCGGCCCGAAGATCCGCACACATAGAGGCTTCAGGATCCTGGATTTTCTCAAGCAGTGCCTGCAACAAGTTGAGACGAAAGGGTTGTCCAGGAGACACATGCAGGAGATCTTGGCGGCTCCAACCAGAATCCCCCAAGAAGCAGCACAAGTCCTGCAAGAACGGCTCGACCTCAGTGTCTGCCAGAGGACAGAGGTCCGTGCCCAGCTCGAGCTTGGAAGGTAAGACGCGCCCAAGACCGGACGAGAGGAGCCGCTGGGTCCAAGCAAGGCGAAGATCATGCAAGAGATCCTGGCCCAGCGGCCTCATCCAGAATGCGGAACTCTGCAGGCCACCCCCGTCTTCCACACGAAGGCAACCCTGTGGCCAAGGCACTTTCTCAGGCAGGAGACCTTGCCATGCCGCAATGGGCACGCAGCGCCCCTGCGACGTGACAAATGGAGCCATGAAGTCAGCGATGGCATCAGCAAGCGAGGCAGGGTACTCCGCTGTCAAACGGCTCTTGTAACTCCCATCCGGCAAACGCTTACCAAGAAAGCTCTCATGTGCCTTCGGCCCATGGGCGCAGGTACATGCCAGTTTGGCAACCTCCGGGCGATTTGACACAAAGGCCCAACGCTTTTGCAAGGCGGAACCATGCATGCAAGCGGCAACCTGTGCACAGAAGGGAGCTTCAGCTTTGATCCACGCTTGCATCTTGGGGTCCTGAAAGGTCATGGAACCAGGAGGATTCTCCAGCATAATGCAGCCACCGGCAGCAGCAACACGCGACAGAAGCTCGCGAGCTCGATCATGCAGCAATTGGCTTTCCTGCACAGCCAGGGTGGCTCGCCAGTCATTGTCAGGAAAGCCATCCAGCGCCCACGGGGCACGAACTGCATTGGGGCCCTGAGGCAGCAGTTTCAAAGGCGAGAATTCCGAGCATACAGGCGCCGCCGCAGCAGCCCCGACAAGACCGCTGCTGGCCAGACCACACAGAGCTTCGAAGTGCACATCATCAAGCAGATCGAAAGCGGGGCCGAAAATCAGATCAACTGCCTCGAATCGATCAGAGTTTCTTTTGGCCATGGCCACTGAGAGAGGTTGTTTGGCACCTGCGAAAAGGTCAAGAAAAAATTTCGGATGTGTTAGCCCAGGACACAGCTTGCACAACTCCAAAGGCTCCTGAGGCCGGTCATGGCACACGGGCTCGCACGGTGCAGCAATGAGATCGACCGCAGCGCCAGGAGGTACAGAACCCGGGGCAGCCGGAGCGCCATCCACACCAAGACCATCGTGCTCACGGACGATGGGCTGATCATCCCACAGTGCAGAGCCAAGCAGCTCGCGAGCTTGAGAGCTGAGCTGCAAGTTATGAGGCACCACCGGAGATGCGTGCAAGAGATCCCGTTCCGAAGGCAACCGAAACCCCAACTCCTGGAGAGTACAACGGTCCTTATACGAGGCCTTGTTGCAAGCACGTAAGGTGTAGATTGCCAGAACCAGACGACGTCCACTGAATCCAGAGACACGATGCCAGCAGGAGGCAGCAGAGAAGACCATGGGGCCTTTTCTGGGTTCAAGCACAACCGCAGGCAAGTAGCATCCCTGGAATTGAGTAGGCACGGAGCCAGACTCGTGGGCCACAACAAGCTCACCCCCTTGAAAATCACAGAGAGGAATCACAACATTCGGCAGGTCCGAGTTGAGATGGTCTTTGTGCTCACGTGATGCGATGCCATCAATGGCAACAAAACTAGTATGGAAAAAATTCGGGCAAATAGCAGCAATGAAGCGATTCAAGACACGCACAGAATGTGGATGCGAACGACACAATTGTCGCAGGCCCACCTTGTGACGATGGAAGACCCCGGCAGTCACCGAGCGACCCTCCGAGAAACGACCATCGGAGTCAGGTGCTTCACACAAAAGTTGATCGAGCAGGTCCACAACGCGTTCACGCGATGGCGGGCCCGACTCAAGCAGCATAATTGATGCAAAATCCTCGGCACAACCTTGAACCTGGGCAAAATTGGGCGGCACCGCCCTCGTCGGGGAGTCGGCTGACCTCCGAGGCAGGACAGCCCACTCCACAGATTGTCAATGCGGTGCAGAGACATGGGCAGTAGCTGAGTGAGCCTGACCACATGGAACCCCGGAAGAATCCAGAACAGGGCACTTGTGAGAGAAGCGGCAAGTTTTGTTGCGACACTTAGCCGTGTGGAAGCGGATGCACACTCCCTGACCTCCCACCTGGCGGGCCCAGTTCGACGGCCAGCTGGAGGGCGAAACACGAGCCTTCTTGGAGGGATGAGCGGACTCATTGCGACGAGTCCCAGTTCCCGAACCGGACCCGGGATTCCCCTGCTTCTTGGGGGGTGCACCTGACTGACCTGAGCCTTGGGCTTGGGATTTGCGACGATTCCCGCGACCATTTTCGCCATTGGCCCCAGCATGACCAGCACTAGTGCGAGGGCGGGGCGCAAGCGTATTGTGCAGCTCAGGACGAACATGCGTGAACTCCGACACGCAGTCTGTCAGAGACCATTGGTAGTCTCGTTGCAAAGACCCAATCGCCAGCCACAAGGAGCGATCCGCTTCCATGACCTCAGGGAGAGTGGGACCCCGAAGAGTTCGGTCGATCGGCACCATCGTTGCAAGACCGACGAACTTTTCCATCAGCTTGCGAAGCGGAAGCAGGTGACACGCATCCAACATAGCCAAGGCGATGCAAAGGCGATCAAAGAACTTGCGAACCACCGACTCCATAGGTGCCTGCATGGGGATGTCGATCAAGAATTCTTCCTCGGCACTGGGCGCCAAGAGCGACGCCAACATTTGAGAGTCTGTGCGAGGCCGGCGCCTCTCCGTAAACGCCACCTCATCAGCTTCGGAAGTGCGGACACGCCAGCTGAACCAACGCATATGATCAGATGACACAGCATCCTTCACTGCAGAGAGAAGAGCGCGCGAAGGCATGATGTCGGGACGCAACAGTTCCGACGGGTACTTACCTTGGAAGTCCTGAACCAACTTATTGACGTCCGCAACCTCAAGTGACTTCTTGGGAACAGCAGTGCCCAGACTGGGCGTTGCAGTGGCACTCGAACCAGCCGGGCTGACCTGACTGATGCATTCCTTCACAACACGACGCAAAGATGCAGCTTCCGGGGAGAAGAGCGGTGCGGCCGGATCACACTTCCCGCAGGGCGTCCCAAGACTGACACAAGAGGGCTCCAAATGCTCGAGGCTGGGAATAGCATGAGCGAGCAGCGATATGGTCTTAAAACCACCACGTGCCAGCCTAGTCTTGACTGTGTCAGGAACAGCCCACGCCTGAAGCTGATCAGTGAAGTAGTCCTCGTCATCGATCCTGACCGAAGCCATGCGCTCGACACCAAAGGGGCAATCTACCACTACGTAGACTGCCGACAGACGCAGCTGAGCAGCCCAAAAGAACTAGCTTCAAACAACCTTGACAAGGTGGCAGCGGCAGAAGTCAAAGATCAGCCTCAAGCTTTCCAGGAGCATGCCAGGACTCTGAAAAGCTTACGATCAACCATAGGGCTGATCAAATACTCGAGCATGAACATCATGAACTTCAGACCCGGGTCAACAAGCGTGTTGACCAAATACTCGAGCGGGAGAGAGCATGTCTCAGCCGAGGACCGTGGTCAACAAGCGTGTTGACCAAATACTCGAGTGAGCGAGTCCATGTTGCAGCCGAAGACCGTGGTCAACAAGCGTGTTGACCAAATACTCGAGCACAAGAGTGCAAGCATGAAGCCGCGCAAGAGCCGAAGGCTCCAGCACGCGAAAGCGCAGGTCAGTTTTGCACTCAGCTGGAAACTGCCGGAAGCACATGGACAAAAATCCACGCACAGCAGAGAAGCTCCCAGACAAAATTTCACACAAAATTAAATCACCCGGTGCCGCATGGGACGACACTAGGGCTAGCCGCCAGACGAGCGATAGCCGGGTCCTTGCCACAGCCATGCTTGAGACACATCCGAGCACCTTGAGGAATCGCATCCACTCGATGCAGAGCTCCCAACGTAAGATTCCCGCGACAGGAGCAGCCGGGTCTCAAGGGACGATCCTCAGCGGACTCCTGCACTGGCCGATACTGGCAGGCCGGGTGATCCACAGCACAGGGTCTAGCAACATGCACGATCTTCGAGGTCGCGTTGTAGAGAAGTTCGAACTCATCAGGATCATCGTTCTCCACCACAGATCCAGTGCTTTGGACCCTCCAAGCAGAGGCCGGTTCTTCCGAAACAGATTCCACCGCTGGTGCCTGAACCTTCTCGTCTTCTGAGTCAGACGACGAATCCATTTCCATGGTTGGACCTGGCAGACGCCCGAGAGCAGGAATCGGAGGTGCCTCACACGCATCCTCAATGGGAGGAACTGTCACCGCAATGTCGGCTTTAGGAGGAGCTGCACCTCTCATAGCCGGACGTAAGGGCCGAAAGCCTGTAGCGACAGCGTTCACGATCTTCACCTGGAGCTCCAGAGGCCCGAGGACATCATCACGCCCATACAATTCCGACATGCCAGGCACGCGGTGATGGCCTTGAAGCCGACGTAGGTTGTCATCAAGTAGCAACTGCTTCGCAAAGGCCAAAAAAGTGACCTTGAGGCTGTGCACGCCGATGAGTGAAAAATCCGGGCGATCCCGAGCTGGCACACTCGAGTAGCAATCCGAGAGAAGAGAGCGAATGAGCACGAGACCAGCCTGCCTTGTTAACGGAGCCAGTAGCACAGGAGCTTGCGGGTCCTCCCCAAGCTCGGCGACCAAGAAGTCGGGCTGGAAGCCAGGGTGCAAGAGTCTGGTGCGCTGCACCGCTGTTTGGAGATGATGCAAGAACTTCTGACCCCAGCCAGACGCGCCAACTGGCCTCGCAAGAAAACCACCAGCTAGAGCACCGAACGGCATCGTGCGATTGGTTGTTTTGGTCCGCCTTGCCGCACCAAGAAGCGCATTGCGAGCACATTGCAATCTTTGGGGCGCAGACCACAGCGCATCGCTCCACCGGAGACTGGCAAAGATGCACACCAGCAACATCCCACACCATAAAATCTGGCGCGGGGACGTCACATCGGCGAGAACTTGCATTTCCAGCCAGATAACGAACGACAAGGGCAATGGGGCCGTTTCCCGACGCTCAGTAATGGTCGTAGTGCGTGTGTATGCCATGACCAGCGGTGATGCCAAAGTCTCTCGCAAGGCCGAAAGCACGAGCCTGGAGGCAACGAAGCGGAGCGCTTTGACCATGCTCAGGGCAGAACCCAAGCGTCCCTTCGTGTGCAAGTGCAAGAAGTCCGCAAGGAACTCGACTGCCGGTTCAAAAGCCACCACCGCCTGAACTTCACAAAACTTCTGCCAGTGGTTCCACGCGGCAAAGTAAGAAGCCAGGGTCGAAGGAGCATTCATGGCAACCATGCGAGCGATGTGTTCATGGGCCAAAGGGCTCTTTAGCAGATCCTGGATGAAGATGCTGTAGAGCTGGGCCCCCAATGTGATTTGAATCCAGCGCTGAATCTGGACATTCTTGGCACGTTGGAAAGCATCCCACATAGTTTCCACGGGCACTGCAGAAGATGAAGCTGGTGGACAGGGGGGGAAAGAACTGTCAGAGCTGATGTCGACCGCTGTCGCCGTGGAGAAGTCGAAGGACCGCACCACGGACTCCCTGCACTTAGGAGCCTTGTAGCGAGGTTGAAGAACGGGAGCAGCAGCCGGCTGAAAATCCTCGCAACGTGCAGACCAGAGTCTATGCCGAGGCACAGGTAGCCTCGCCGAGTGGCCGCCACGGCCAGAAGGTTCAGCTGGTAGATGTGAAGGAGCCTTGGGAGCGCCTTCAGCAGTCCAACGACTGGTGGGGCCCGACATCCAGATCGTCCAACGACTGGTGGGGCCCGACATCCAGATCTTATTTTCACGCCCGAGAAAAGGGGAAAATTTGCAAGGTCCGAACAGCTCAACCGTAAGAGGTGAAGATGCAGAAGCATTCCCCCGCCCCACACGAGAAGCAACAGAAATGCTTGCCTGTTGTAACACAGTGCTGCAGCAAGAGCGGTTCACGTTGTGTGCATAATCAAAAGACACAGAGGCAAAGCAAGGACCTTGTTTCCGGAGTCCGCATGAATGAGGCTCACCAGCAAGCAGCTGAGTAGCCCGAAAGCTGAGTGCAGACAGAAAGCGATGCAGTGGATCCCAAGAGAGAAAGGCCGAAGCCGACAATCGAACCCGAACCGGGAACAAAACCCCGAAGCAAAACCGAAGCAAAACCCAAGCCATGAAGCCACTAGGGAGCGACATGACGCGAAGAGCTAGGAAACGGTGAATCTGCATTGCGCTCACGTGCCAAAGTGTTGAAGTGTTCCTGCAAGGCCGAGATCTGGGCATCCAAAGCCGCGCACTGACCGTCAACATCACGAAGGCATTGACCAAAGGCCATGTCCAAAGAATCATGCCCACGAGCGAAATCAGATGGAATAGACGATTCCATCACAGATGCACGCAAGGACCTTGTGAAGTCATTCCAAGTCTCCGAATTCTCCGCTAGCGAGAGGTTCCGCAAGCGAAGGTGAACTTCCAACACCTCAAGGCGATCACGTAGGAGTGATTGATCCTGTTGCACACGGGTGATCTTCTCCTGCATGGACAGCAGAAGACTTTGCTGGGCTTCCAGCGCCGAGATGGCTTTCCAAACATCCGAGAGGTCGGAGTCAGGACGAGGCCGGTGAGCACAATCTGAACTGGACTTGCTGGAGTTGAACCGCAAGCAAACTTGACGTGGGCAATCCATGATGCAGCCAGGCAAACTAAGTCAGCGACCTCCGGGAAAAATTAGTGAACTATTGGAAACGAGAAGACAGCGGTGCACAAGGAGCCAAAACATGGGCCAGAAAAGCATGCATGCAAGGCGCAGCCCACGTGCAGTGATAGTGAACTCACCACATGGCAGCGAAACGTGCAAGAACACGCAATGAGCTCAATCTTGGAATGCAAAGACTGAAGACGCACAAGAAGCACCGGACATAAGAAACATGTCAAAGCTTCATGCAGCAGTGCCAGACGTGAGCGAATGCGAATGCTCAAAGCACTGACAGCGTCCTTGTAAGTCACAAGAGATCAGCCACTCAGAGTGGTATTTTGCACCAGCAAGCCAGTACCGTGCGAGAGCTGCCTCCCAGCCACTCACAATAGCTTACTTTATAGTACGTTTGCAAAAGAATGCACTAACCGCTTAAGCTGTCAGAACACAAGAGCTGCAACATCAGTCAAGCGATTCCAGTAAGCGCTCGGCAGAAGAAGAAGCCGGAGCATCAGATGCCGGGTACTCCTGGTTCACTGGATCGTCCAAAAAATCAGGAGGAGCAGCTCGACTCACAGGAATGTAGCGCGTCGTAACCACATGGATGCCACCAGGAGCGTTTCGCGATGCAGGACGAGACACGGCGCCCACAGTAAAACTGTCCAAAGGTGAAGTGCCTGTGCCCGAGCGATTGTTGACTTCCAAGGGAGCGTCCCTGAACGAAGAGCCAAGACGAGCTGAAGCTTGCATGGCCCTCCCCAAATTCTGCAACCTGAGAACGAGTCCAGAATCTGCAGTAGGCGTAGCAGAAGTACAAGAACCTGCCGAAACACTGGAAGCAGTGGTAGCTGAAGCCATAACCGAAGATTCTGACGCCGGTGAGGGCACCTCTTCAACGCGCAGCATGACACGATTTGCAGACCAAACAGAGTCGCCGATCTCGACATTGATGTCCACAGTTGGTTGCAGGTGTTGCGAAAGAACACCGACAAGGTCCATCTCAAGAGCGGAAGGAGACCGGCGATGACCAGATAACTCCAGAGGTGCAGTGTCAGCGGAGCCGCGCCTGGTCATGGCCCTGACGCTGAGCAAGAGAGCCAGCGTGTAAAGGAGCATCACTCGCGGATCATTGCCACGTAAAGCTATGACAGTCACAAGACGTAGCAAGGAATAGTGCGATCTAGCAAAGCAGTGTACAGCCACCGATGTAGCCTGCCAAAGCTTGCGCGAAGAAGGAGCCAGAAAATCCCAAATCACGGATGAGGTCTGTGCAGAAAGCAGAGTTGCCAAGTCAGACGTGGGATTGACGAAAACCCAAGCAGACATGCACAGTCCAAGTCGCCAGGACCTATGGCTCAAGAGAGATCACAGGATCTCCTCACCTACGAAGTGACACAAAACCGGATTCACCGGAAAGTAAGCTTGAACAGCTGACAGCTTCAAATGAAAGCGAAATGCCGAGCTTGCAAATTTCGTTTCCTAAAACAGGAAAACGGTTCAGCAAGGTAAACTCGGAAATCAGTTCGCAGAAAAAAACATTGAAGCATGTCTTCCGGGCTTCAGACCCCAAACAGCCGCGTTAGAAACACAAGCCGCACATAGGTGCTATGGCAAACTGTGTAAACTGTGGCCAAAGAAGCTGCAAAGGTCCTAAGCACTTGCCATTAGAGCTTCCGAAAACGAGGTCAGTAATCGCAAACACGATTTGCAAAACATGATGTCAAATCATCTCGTAGAAAGCACCTTCTACAGAACTCTGCAGCCGTGATCGAACCACGAGCTACATTCCTTGAAGACTGAGCGCAGCAGGTTGACACATCGTACTGTCGAGTTGCAGTTTGCTACAGAGAGCCAACTGAAGACAACAGGCATGTGAGCAGTGGCTGCTGGAACAGTCAAGCTTCATCCTTTCAGGAAAGACAGCAGCTGGAACTCCGTGGTACCCAGATATACTGCCGGTGCCATGACCGGCAGCAAGGATGTTGCCGCGAACATCCGCAAATGCTTCCACGAGCCGCACGCAAGCTTTTCACATCGCCTTATTTTCACTCTGAAAAGTTACCGCTCGATTAGCAAGCATCCCCACTGCGAGCAGAGGAACGCATCTTCACGAGCGCGCGCGCGCGCACCTGAATTTTTTGCTGTTTCAAGCCTCACTTCTCGAGGCGCTTGTCCAGGTGGTGCAAAAGCGAGCCAGTGTCTCGGATGGGCTTAGCCATCGTACACTGCTTGCACTTCCAATGCTTGCTGTGCACTCTTCCAGAGAAGGGAACAAAACCTTTTGCCGGCCGACCGCAAAGCATCTTGCTGTCTGGCGTCGCACCTCGGGCCCTTGCGTGGATTGATTTTGTCTTAGGGTTCTGGAAGAGATCCAGGTCTACCCCTATGGTTGCACGCGGGGCCTGCACCTCGAAGCCTCGGAGGAATCCATCATAATCAACCGGCTCCTCGGATGAGCCTGATGATTCACTGTCGCTAGAAGACTCCAATGAACCTGACTCGCACACACGATCTGGGCTCACGCCACCGAAGACTGCATCTTCCTCGGCCTCCCCGGCAACCTCAAGCTCACCTTCCTGGAAACCGGGAGCTCGACCCAAACTTAACGCTGAAGCCCCCCCTTCAGAAAGGGCTGCCTCGTCGGGCGCCGTGTCATTTGCAGGGCCAGCGATGCTGAAGGACGGTGCAAAGGACGGCTGGAAGGTGGGACGAAAAGCAAAACTACTCGGGAAATCGTCATGCGACTCAGCGCGCTCCCTGATCATGCCACTGCGGGTCAAGTCTGGAAGGAAGACCCCCACTCTGATCGATTTCAAGCATGCACACAAATCTCTCAACGGGCCCGCCTGCACATCGCGACCATATGCTTCGGAAGTTTTGCCCTTAGCCCCCAGTGAGTGATGGCCAAGAACGAGGATGGTACGGTCCCCGTAATTTGCCTTTGTCACCCACGAAAGTGTTGTGGCTTTCGCCCATCAGCGCCTTGAGGATGCCATTCAGCCACCTTGTGGTTTCAGCAGCATCCACCGCATCACCGGACCAAGTGTAATCGCTGGCGAAACGAGGCAACAGCGGGCCTCTGAAACCCTTCTCAAAGTCAAACCCAACATCTTTGGCAGCCTGAATCAAAGCAAGCCCCCAAGGCTGGGAGGCGAGCCCCTGGATCGGAGCCACCAGTATGAGGACAGCACTGGGTCCACTGGTAATGCGACGACTTTTGTGCTCGTATGTATGTGCTTCGATATACCCTTCTGCCCCGGTTATGTCCAGGTAAACCTTGAACAGATTGCGCAAATCGGACACTCGGGCTCGAGCATACAGCTGAAACAACATAACTCCGAGCGCATATCGATCAAAACGGTCCAAACGGCCCCCGATCAAGGCCTCTTCAAGATGCTTCACCTCCTTCACAGTCAAGGTCCGTGAGCGGTGGGCATCCCGGAGCCGGATGTTGGCAAACCTCATCGTCCCTTTGAACCACGGGTGTGAAGTCACATCATCACTCACCTGAAACCCCAACACAAAGCGACAAAAATTCAAGGAGCTTGCAAAATCCCGGATGGCACTCTTCTTGTTACCCGAAATAGCATCCTTGAGATAACTCCGGATCTTTTCAATTGAGAAGGGGAAAGCATCGCACCCATTGTCCGACGCCCAATGCACGTATTTCCCGATGCAGCGGACTCTTTTCAGAAGAGTACTTGTTGCCTTGCCCTCAAACGTCTCAGACACAAGCTCGGCACCATCACACGCACTCCCCGCAAGCGTCTGGCCCAATGAAGATGCACTGGTATCATGCAACAACACACACAACCATCGCCGCACAACTGCTTCCCTGTCCAATGACTGCTTGACCCCTGGTTCAAGACGAGCCTTGCGAAGGACCTGGTCAAACACAGGCGGTAAGGAACCTGTTGCAGGCACAGAAAGTGGTACTCTCTTAGCGGCTTTGAGTTGATAAGCAGATACCGGCCACTGTGGTATATTAGGTCTTGGCATGGGCACACGTAGAGGCTGGGCGAATGGAACTGACGTATGCACCTCAAAAACGCCCTTGAAAGGTGGCTTCTCCCAAGGCATCAATTCAACACTCCGGGCACCTGAAAAACCAGCTTCCTCGATTGCTCTGTCAAGGTCAAAATCAGCTGGTCTTTTGCGATTTGACATGTTGCGCAGTGTACCGTAGTGAAAAAGTATCTCAGGCAGCTGCACACCAGTATTGAAGTTGAGGCTGACACTTGAGGCTGACACTCCCCCCCCCCCCGTGCACAGGAAGACTCAAGGCAGAGCTGGCGGCCTAGTCCTCGTGGAGGGACTGCCACTGAACGTGAGGGAAGGTTCTCTGCAACGCCACAACAAGAAACTGAAAACAGCTCTGGTTATGCAACACCCGCTCCGTCAAGGTTTCAATGGCTGGAGCAGGATGCACAAGGCGTGGCTGCAAGCGGGCAGAAGCACGAATGTGGGCCTCTTGCAAAGGGGCGATCTGATCACGCAAGGCACTAACTTCTGCACGCAAAGCCTCGACCTCAAGATGGTATGCACTCAAATCACCCTGAAAGACAGCTATCTGATGCCGCAGGGGCTCAACCTGGGCAACCTCACGCTGAAGCTCTTGAAGAACGCGATCCGCTGTGTCCATCCACCAGAGATCACTCTGGCTTGCACGCCCTCTAAGAGGGAAACTTGTTGAAAGGATCGGGCCTGTTGACAAGCGGAGCCGTTGCGCCTTCAAGCCCAGGTTAGACAAAAATTTTTCTGTGCACCTTACTCGAACCGAGGTGCTGCAGATATCACATGTTGTTTCACAAAACATGACATCTGCATTCAAGAAAATGGGCTCGTGCTTCACTTGCCATTTTAAATGTCATGATGCGTGCATGTGTGTGCATCACAAATGGACACGTCCCGTTTTAAAACAAGACACCGCAAATGCAACCACAAATTTTTCCCCAAGAAAAATTTCGTGACACAGCCACAGAAATAAATAATGCCTTGTCCATCGCGATGGAAGGCCGTCGTCTACATAGGCATTGGTTTGTTAAGTGTTTTCGGGACAGTACGGCATTTTCGGCTTCTGGGATTGGTTTTAAGGACAGTACAGCACTTTGCAGGCCTGAGGCGCTAAGAACTCTACACGGTCCCTAGAAAACCAAACTTTGTAAGAGGACCTGTCCGCACAGGCCTCCAGAATTTTATAGGGACAGTACAGCACTTTGAAGGCGTAAGGTGCTGAAATTGTTGTACTGTCCCTAACACCCAATCTTTGGAAGAGACCTGGTTGTACAGGCCCCAGTAATAGTTTTGTAGGTTGTTTAGAGAGTACAGCCTGAACAGCAAGCAAACGAATCAATCATATTCAACTATGTTTAAGGACCGTGATTTAGAGATTAAGGTTCATCGAATTGATTCAGTTAAGGGCCTACTAATTCAATTCATTTATTTGACCCTTCAGTAAAGAAATTAAGCCATTGGAATCCCTTAACTAAGTCAACGTCAACAAACTGAAAACCTGAGTTGAATAAGGTGCCTTTTGTAATCCACTAGTTTAACTCATTTACTTAACCCTTCAGGAACCAATTCACCTGTTGAAATTTTGTCACTTAAGTTAGCTTTAGCAACAAAACCTTTAGTTAAATTAGGCACTGTATTGTTAACGAGAACAAAGAAAACAAGTATGAACATACTTTAGTTAATCGAATAACGCTTAAATGAGGCAATGCGACCAGGTTGCCGAACAAGTATACTTTAATTGATGGGTTGAAAACCCTAAACCCTAAACCCTAAACCCTAAACCCTAAACCCTAAACCCTAAACTAGCTTTACAGCCATGATTCAGTTAGTCCGGTTCAGAGTGAATTAAATAAAGGATCGCAATCTAGCTAGTTCAATGTATTTACTTCACCCTTAAATTAAAACATCGATTAAGGCTTTAATTCTAGGGGATGCCTATTTACTTATTCCGTTTTAAACAAATTAAATCAAACAAACTATGTTTTACCACATCATGATTGAATTCATTCATTTCATTGATGTCCCTGAGTTAACGGTCTACTAATTCACATGAATTGATTTGACCATTGAATAAATACATTCTGCCCGTGGATTTCATTAACTGAGCTGAAAATACGTACTTACTAACTTCTTCATTGAACTCACTTAGTCAATGGTCTCCTACACTTGTGTCATGTCCTTAACACGTCAGAAAACTAATCAAACTATTGACACTACTTCAATTAACATAATCTCAAGAAGCAACAAGCCCTTCGTTAAATTCAGTACTCTGTGTGTGTGTGCGAAAACAACGAACATATTGTAGCAAATTTGATTCATGCTTAAATGAAGCAAAATTAGATCAAGTTCCCAAAACAAGTGTGTTTACTGAAAGTAGCACGCTAGAACATTTAATTAATCTCACTAGTGGATCATTAAATTGAGTGAATTGACTACTTCGAGGTGGGTGAAAACATCACTTAATCTAATTCAGATTAAGTATTGACGAAACTTTCGCCCACGTGCATGGCAGCATCATCGACTCGATGGTCCTTGTAAAAACTTCTGGCATGCAGAAAAGTTAACTTCTGCAGTAAAACCGAAGCGGGGAGGAGGGGTAGCATATAATACATATCACACATACATGCATGCATGCATACATGGTCCACCATACACACATGTACAGTCTCACGAGATCGTAGATAGTATGGAGTACACGGTTTCAGGACTCAGTGTGACTCTTGCCTTCTTTTTCCCAACTCTTCTCGCCCTAAAGCTGAAGGTTGAGGGTTTAGGGCTCAAGGCTTAGGGTTTGTGTACACCCCGAGCCTGCGTTCTGCGTTCCACTTTTGACGCGTTTACTGTGAGGAGGTCACTTCGGCTTCCCTACCTTTTGGAATTGATTTCTTGCCCTCTTTTTGTGTCTCCAAATCCACACACCTTTCACCACCCGCACACTTCCCACACTTGAACAACCAGCAGAACGCAGCCGACATACACGCAAACGCACCCACTGAAGCCACTTTGCACCCACACAATGACACACACCACACTCCAAACACACACACGACTCTCTGCCAAAACGCCGAAACTACAACACACCACATGTTTATTTGGTGTCACTTCCAAGACTCCATGCCTCACCACTCTTTCCTGCACACTGAAGCAAAGACATGCACCTGCAAACCAACCCACTTTGCAACCACAAATGCTTTCACACACACACACACACATCCACAACACTCTTGCACATGCACACTCGGAAAAACAGGAAACCACAAAAAATGCACATTCTTATTATATCTTTAAGTTCAAATTACAATTTGTTCACTGTCTTTCTGGCCAATCAACAGCTTATCGGGCTGACAGCAAAACACTTGCTGAACGATCTGTTTGTGTTTTTCTTTGTTCAAGACGGTTTCTTGAACCCTCCTCTTTCTAAAGCTTGCAACTTAACCGAGAGATCATTCCGACAAAAAAAACAAAGAAAACAGTGGAAAAAAAGTAAGAGAATTCTTGTTCACACGGGCGAAGGCAATTTGAATTGGAAAAAAAAACAAAAAGTGTTGTGTGTCTGAATCTGCTGCCAAATCTGAAGAAAATTGTCCAAGTTTCACGACTCTTCTGGCTTTTTTTCCATCGGTTTCTCCAAAGTTCAAAAAGAAAAACCAATGTTTTTGCAGTTCCCAGCCTCGATTTCCATTCCATTCGATTTTTTTGACAAAGCTTCGATTGCGTTGATTTTCCCAAGAATGGCAAACAGACTGAGTAGAAGCTGGGTGCTCTCAATTCTTTCTCTCTCGTTTTGGGTGTTGCAATTCTCCAGGATTCAGCATCATTTAACGATTTTGAAAATTTCTGAAGTTCCGAAAATGTGGAAAAAAAACCCTCAAAATCACACTTAATGAATTTCATTTGTTGAAGTTACTCTGGAGTTTCGCTCGCTTCGCTCGCACTTATTCACATTCTGGTGATACACTTTGCAATTCTTTTAAAAACAATTGTTTCAAAGCATTGAAATTTAAGCTGCATCTTCACCGATATTGACTCTGCACCCTTCTTTTCTCCTCTTGCCTTCACCAAAACCTGGAGAATCTGAAATCCAAGATGAGGAACAGCAAAATTGATCGAAAGGTGGGAAAGCTCAGACCTCCACAGTTTGAGCAGGCTCCGGTTCCATAAGCCTTTCAGTCAGTTCCAGTTTGATTCTTCTGTCAGTGGCAGTGAACTTGTTTGGCTCCTAAAACTTGGGTTTCAATTTTGAAGCTCCAACCTGGCTGGTATGTTTACACAGAATCCAGATTTTTTCTATTCGATACCGTTTTTTTGAAAAGGCCCTTTTCAACACACTACTTTCCTCGCAGTTCACTTGAAAGACCAAAAGGGAAAAATGACAGGCTTGAAGCGGGAGGCGGCTCGTTCTGCCAGCTTCGTCAGTCTATGAGCAAGTTCCAGCGTGGACAAGATTTAGTGCATTTTTGATAGAGGTGAAGCAAGAAGCGAGTGCCGGACACAAACTCTGGCGTTTGCTGCCACGCATCGTGCTGCCGGGTTTCTCTACTTCGTCTTCGTCGTGTACTGAGAGGGGCCTGTTTGACCCTGAGGAAAATGCGGCATGCCTCAGCAATTCAAGCTAGCAGCCCGTCCTTGTGCGAGAGATTTGCCCCTCGCAGCTGCTGCTAACATGCCCTTGTTGCGATTGCTTTTTTTGAAGTGGACGCCTCTTTGCTACAGCAGCTCAATAGGTCGGTCTTGTGGGTTGGGTCCGAAGTGAACATAGCTGAGCAAACAAGCAACGGCAATACGAACACCGCAAGCAGCGAAAAAACCAAACAACAACAGACAAAGAACGTCCAGGATCAGACTTATCAAGGAAGCGAGATTGGAAGCTGCCAACAAAAGAAAATAAATTGTCGGTCAAACAGACAGAGCCCGCCTTTGCATCATCGTTTGTTTACCATCCATGGTCATACCTGGAATCTGAAAGCAAGACTTTGCAAGATGGTGTGGCCTTCATGTAGTACGATGTGTTAATTTTTGCAGCATCTCCAAGTCACCTCACATGTGTTGCGGTCGATAAAGGGAAGTGTGACGCAATGATTTTCGGGAATAGCAATAGGTGTACGATTTTTGACCCATCGTCGTCCAGCCTTTCAAAACCTGGGGATCTGAAGAATTTTCCATTTAGCCGCCTTACAAAGAGCATGAAGCTTGGCTTGCTGTGCGGTAGAAGCTGAAATCGGACTGCCCTCCAAACAGATCCCTGCATCGAGCCAGCCCATCGAGAATAATGCATGGTCTTCAGTTTTTGGGCCCGTGCCTCTACAGTCATGATGCTCTCTCTTTCATCGGGATGTCTTTTCAAACATACTGAGAGTGGGGTAGTCCAAGTATCACAGATGAACATAACCTCTTCTTCGAATTGTGCAGCCATGCTTCGATTCTCTTTGCTTGTAGTTCTGTGGAGGCCCGTCCTCGCGAAGCCAGAATTGCTTGTGCTTTGCGGCCCTGAAAGCGGGGTCGCCCGACTTCCCCGGAACTTGGGCTTCGTCCTGGCAATTCTGCTGGTTTGCCAGTTGAGCTGCAGGTCTTTGTCGGTGTTTTCTGTGGATAGGAGGCGCCCTTCAAGCTCGGGAAGTTGACCAACGT